AAAAAAAAAAAAAAAAACACCGGTCGAATAAAGCCCGGACCCAATAGATTATTCAGCCTGCGGCTTCAGACGACTTTCAGACATCTTCACATGACTCACGGGAAATTACAAACCAGATGGTGTTCCAACGGAAAAGCTAAAGTGACCTCAAAGGTTAAACTTGTACATGCACACTGCTACTTTAACGTAGCGCCTTGCCCTTAAGGCTCTATAAACAAGGATATTACTTCAACACCTCTTATCTATAAAGTGTCCTCCTTCATGTCCCCATTTAAGTATAAAGCTGTACTCCGAATACACGTGCTTAGAGTTTTAATAGATATGGAAGCTGTATTGCTCAGTTGCGTAGGAAGGTCGAGAAGCATTTAAAACTATTGTATAAAAATACGTGTTCCAGCGCTACAGTTAAATGGATATTGGCATTTAAAAATTACACTCGATTTTATGGGGAAAAAACGTCGTAAACACACAGCACGGGACAGATATAAAGTGGTTGTAGAGACTGCTCGATAAAGTTCACTGACAAAGCAACCAAGCGTCACTGTGGTATAATAGGACATGTAATGAACATCCGTTTAGTATCAATTGTTTCTGTGCTCTGCCACATGAAACAAAGTTAACCGACCAAACAAATTGAAATTAACGACGTTATCGTAAAGATGTCCAATAGTGTCCAGAAACTATTTTCAAATTCGTTGCTAACAATAGATACTTCTTCTCGTCTAGACTTTGGAGACTAATTTTGCACATAGCTTCATTTATTATTTTTTTGAGAGAGACCTATGTAAGATGTGCATCATAGATATCTTTACTTGAATGTCCTTTTATGATGTGATACTCTATTTCATTCCCTGCATCGATACAGGAAACCTCCCTACGTTGTATTTTCTCACGCCATCCCAATCGTTAGGTTCCAGACTCCATAGCTGCAGACCGTAAAAGGCAGAATCCATTTGCAACGCCACCGCATTACTTTTCCCTCTTCAAAGGCTAAGCTCGACTACCTGATGAAATTTAGGTGGCTGTCCATATTTTACCTTATCTCCCAAGGCTAAAGGAAATTGAAGGCGGTTTCGGTTATCTAAAAATACTTAAAAGATGCATTGTCCTATTTTTCAGGAGACTGTCTGACGCCCCCGTAAAACGTCCAGGGCCACCGGCGAGTGTAAAAGATGTATATCACCGGCATACAGAGAGACGCGACCGTTAACAATAACAACTGCATGCAAGTATCAGCTGGCAACTTAAACTTGGGACAACCGTCGAAAGAGCTTCTTCTGAACGGTAACATCGGTTCTGTTTCTCCCACTGACAACTCCTACGTGCTTCTCGAGAACCAGAGAAACATGAACGGAACGATCACGACCAAGATGGCCGCCTTGGACATCATCAACGGAAGTGGCACGATGGGAACGAGTGAGATTGGGTACAAGAGCGAGAACGAAGCCAACCACATCAATCAAAACAGTACGTCAATCTACGGCTACACCAATAACAAGATCATCCGCAACATCGTTGGAAACGATCCAGATCCCGTGGAGAACGCCAACAACGCAGTTGACACCACGTTACAGAAGGACAGTCACATTGTCTGCGAAAATTCGAACATGCCAGAGAACTCGACAATGGATGATACCCAATACATCAAGGAGGATGAGCCGGTGCGAGACCTTCCAAACAATGACTCACTAGAGAAATCCGATACCTCTGAGGAGGAAGCGGAAACCGCCGGAGGTGACACTCCGGAGGGAAAGGAGTTCAATGGTAATGGCATTGAAGAAACCAAGATGGCTGCGCTGGAGCAAGACAGCGATAGCGACACATTCGATACAGAGAAGTTTGACCACGAGAGTGAATCAGATGACACGCTGGCTCCTACTCCTCAAGAAAACGAGCCTCTTGAGGAACAAGCTGGTCTGGAGGCTCAGGCGTCTAAGGGGGTCGACTTGGAGTCAACAACAGGTGAGAAAGGGGCAAGCGCAAGAAGCATCCGTCAAATAAAGAGCAGCTTGGAAGAGAAGGTTCGCCGTCTTCAGGAGGAGAAGAAAATGGTGGAAGACAAAATCCGGCTGGCTCAGGAGGAGGAGCAGATTCGGGCCCACGAGAGGAGCAAGTACCAGCGCCAGCTGCGCATGTGCAGACGGGACATGATGCTGCGCAGACTCCATGACCTCGGGGTCGAGCTGGAGGACCAGGCCCAGCGGCTCCAGATGTGCTACAGCAGTCTGCTGTCCATGAAGATGGAGAACTGGGCGGCAAAGGACGACGAGTAGAAAATAAACATGCCGTAAACCAGCCACAGACTGAGGACTGTAGTAAGGCGATTGTACATAGAGAAGCAGCGCTAGCATTGATTCAGAAGCAGTGGGCGCGACATAAAGTTTGTTGGATGCTAACTTTATATAAACTGGAAAACCTTGGAAAACACACCATATAGGATAAACTAGATTGCAACATTGTTGTGAGAAGTTTTTTTGTGAAATAAGTTCAACCAAATGTGGAAAAACGGATGAAACGTAATTCTAACACTATTGATAATCCACTTCGTCGAAATGTTTAGTTATACTAAAAAATGTCTTCCGCCTATTACATACCATCGGCGAGTATATTTAAGGATCCATGGAGTACACTCGAAATTATCAAAGTGTAAAGTTATAGTTTACTACATCTAAACGGACAACAGAACTATGTGCAGTGACTGTTTGCTATAGTTTTTGTCGTTGGTAAAGTATGCTTGTATACAAACTGTCAAACATTCCTCAGTCTTGAAGCAAAAAAGTGCTTGTTTGTAAATCGTTCTGAGACTATATTGCGAATGGTCTGTATATTCCAGTGGGTGTTTTCATGCAAACAAAAGTTATCTAATACGGACGTACAGGCAACATAAGAATGCGATCGAAGAAATAACAAAGCACATCCAAGTGAGTTATAATGGCATCCAATTATGATGTGCACAAGCTGGGTATAGTGAGGGAAATTGGAGATGTTCCAGATATTTCTGTATATTGACCGACCTCCTGATTGTATATATCTTTCGTTCTGATTCAGTGTCAAGGGAATATCAAAATTGTATTCAGCGTACCTTCGAGGTATTGCTAGAAAGGCAGGTAGAGTTTACAGCTATCGATAGGGCCATTTTTCGTATAGGTAAATCTATATCATACCCCTGTGGAAAAAGAGTAAGCATTAAGGACAGAACGGAAACCGATATTTCCGCTTTTATCCGATTACCTTAAATCTTGGCACTGGGAGCAGAAACTCTGCCTTAGGATCCGGTAATTATAAATAAAGACCAATCGATGTTTGTCTCCATTGATTTTGAGGTTGTTGGATTTTCTTCACAACGCATGTATATCCACAGGTTCGCGCAAGTAGCTTAGTTACAAAACGGAACCTTAATCATGTTAAGATAGTGGATATAGAGCGGATTTCGTGCAGTGTAGGAACTTTAATTTGTCATTATCAAATAAGTAAATGTTGTGAAAGACAGAGGGGGAAATACGCATTACCGTCACACAAAGCTGAAGTCTAAGCTATTTTACTATAACATGTAGCTTTAAACATGAAAATACTGTAGTATATGCATGTTACTGTAATGATAGTACTGATAAGTAGGCATTCAATGGGCCATTAGCCTTTGCTACAGCCATTACCTGAAGCTACTTTTCTAGGCCATGAAATATTCAACTGACCCTGATTCACCTGTTACAAAACTGGTTTGCAAAGGGTTATGTGGAGCAAAAAGAGATATAAAGAGGTTTACATAATATTATGTCTATATGATTCAAACATTTTAGCAGCCAAGGTATGTGTTTATGGTGGGACACGATCTGACGACTGAACAACAATCCGACAGGTTCCCTTGTTTGGACGCGCTTAGTCAAGAGTCTTAAGTTTGACACTTGGACTTTGTATTGTTTACATAAAACTTGAGTCACTATTGAACTAGATTTGTCAAAGGGTGGACAAATGATTTCCAAACAAACATACACACTGTACTTGCTAATCGATACAGTAACTCTAGATCTTTATTTGCGTGACTTGATTCATCAGTTGGATATCATTTAATAGCAATCTGATCCACTCAAAATATTTAAGCATCTCCTATTTCAAGTATCGACGTGTACGAAAACATTAAGGCCAAGACAATGCAGGTTTTGCCATGGATTTGTTTAATTATTAACGATATACCTCAACGACGTTTACTTACTTAAGACCAGGTTCGTACATGGGTACATAGTTTTGCCAGTTAGTTTGAATTCCCTGCAAGTTAGTTTGAATTTCTTGCTGTATGGAATCGCATTGATCCATAAACTACCATATAAAAAGACATAAAGATGGGGTCTGACATCAAGAAAGGTTTTCACCGTGGAGGAATAACCATGACTGTGCATGCTGGAGTTGCTGTTGCTGGACTTATTGTGTCAATAATCATATCCCTTATGATGTATTCCTCGACGCCACAAGTAGAGCCAGTTACCAAGATCTGTGAAGGGGAGTTCAACCCAAACATAACTTGTAAGTATGTTACAGTTCCTTACTGTATTTTGACTGGACACACTTGATACAATGTTAGTACTGTGTGTGTCTGGGGGGGAGGGGGGGGCAAATGACTGTACTCCTATCTAAACATTGGATTGTTGGCAGCAATGATAACGATGATCACTATATGTTCCGATTATAGAATATTAACTATATGCCATTAAAAACAAACTTCAGGACGCTCGTTGCCTGTCAACGTTTGTTAAAAAGTAGATAGCCTATTTAGTAGGTCGAACGTAAATGCTGCATTAGTACCCTATTTGCACAAGACACAGTTTGTTGATACAGTGGCGCTGCAAAGAGAAGTATATAACAACGAAGGAACGTCAAAACGTACGTACAGAATGGACTGCATATTAGACTCTATCTTCTTGTATATGGATTGGCGCCACGTACAACAATAAACAGCTATAAGCTTATTCATGCAGCAACCTACCCCTTCTTTCTTCTATATTCAAATCTGTAGATCTAAGGATGTTGCTGACCAAACGGCTATACGGCCAGCCTCTAGTGCGGGATGTTGTGGTCAAGGCCATCCAGGGTCACCTGACTACTCCAAAAACAAGTAAAGCACTGGTTCTTTCCTTCCACGGGCCCTCGGGCGTAGGAAAGACGTACGTGACTAACATGATTGCAAAAGCTATCTTCACAAACGGTACAAGATCTCCATACGTTATTTACTATTCCGCTGAGATTGACTTTAAACACGCCGATGAGCTACACACGAGGGAATATAAGGTGAGAAGAACAGTTACTGTCTTAGACTAATATTAATCCCAACTCAAACCTAGTAGTTGTTTTCTCTCCAAGCAGAGGTTGTGGGGGAATGATCGTTAACGTTTTATATATGGCCGTTTTTTTTTTGTGTCCTGATGGCCGCGGACCTTCTCTGGCTAATGGATACTGCCTGGCCAATTTGATACTGTCTTTTTGCCACCGAGATGGATCTGCTTGGAGATTAGTAGTTGTTAGTTATCAGTAGTTCTCTGTGTATTAATTGCCTGTTCTTATACCAAAGGTTTCTTCTGTACTTGCAATTAGACGTCGGGCATAAACTTGCAAACGTTCAAGTATTAATGTGATGGTATTTACGTTCACTGCACAAAGAGTTGAACTTGGCAGAAAACATACATGGATATCTAGCTACAAGATTGCATTTGGTTTGCGATCGACTTTTAATAGGCACTCATTTAACAACTTTGCTTATAAGGTGAGAACAATTACTGTTTTAGACTAATATTAATGTCATAATATTTACATTCAATATGCACAAAGAGTTGAAATTTGTACGAAACATGCTTGGCTCATCTAGCTACAAGATTGCCTTTTGCTTGCGATCGATATTTAAAAGCGTCCTTATCTAACAACTTCAGTTTTTATTTTCGTATTCAATCTCCTATCTCCTTTATTTTCATATTCAATCTCCTATCAGAAACAGCTCCGCCGTGCTATCTCTGAAAGAGTGAGTCAGTGCCAGCATTCCATTTTCATATTCGACCATGTGGACAGGATGCCGCGGGACCTTATTGACACCATCAAGCCTTTCGTTGAAGAGTACGCCAGGGTGGACGGAATTAACTTCAGAAAAGCTGTCTTTATTCTGATAAGGTACGTTGGCCATAGTGTGTGGTAGACGCCAAGCTGTAAATATTGTATAACATTCATTCATATATTTGGTGCACGTTGGCAAAATCAGCATTGGGGCGGAGACGGGGAACGAAACAGCTTATTAGCTTTAGAAAAGAATAAATATATCCTCATAAGATACTGATTATGTCTGTATTTATCCACCCAACACTAAATAATGATATTTAGTTGCTTAATCTATTTAACTGGATTGTAATTGGAAATCGTAATTCTGAAGTATTATTAAGTTGTATGGAGTAATTAAGGACAAATCTTATGATTATGTCTGATACCTTGTTTTTTCCACATGCTAAGCAAATCAGGGACTCTGATAGGAAGGTAGGTCAAAGATCCCAGTGAGGTCCCAGAAAAGGTTTTCTCGTTTCCTGACTTTAGGTTCCTGCTATATGTGCGTTTGGCTGATGGGAACCGGTGGGAATATGCATACGCAGAATCAACTAGAAATTTACATCAATTAATGAGAAATCTTCAAATATGTCTTCAAGGTATAGGCACTGAAATTTCTTGCTTCGTGCTTTTCTTCCAAAAACTCATTATCTGTTCCCTCCTACAGTTATTCAGCATCTGATGCAATTATCAAGATGACGATGAAGTTAAGGTCGGAAGAAATTGAAAGAGAAGAATTTTCCCTGGAGGGTTTTGAGGAAGCTATAACAAAAAGCGCTCTTGGGAGAGAAGGTATGTCTAGAATTCTAAGTAAAAAAATGAAGATGTAGACAGTACACTATAACGACATAGATAGGACGAAGATTAATATAATAAGATTTTTTAAAGAATTAATTGATCGATGAAAATTAGAACGATATCCGTGACAAAAATGGTATCTATTATGCATGGCCTATAATTGATAGCATAATATTCAATGCAGTCTTCTGTTTAATGTAAATTTTAAATACTCCGTCACTATTACTAAACCTTCAGTTAGCAACTCAATGTTTTTGAGATGCTACGTTTTGACATGTCAGTGTACATTTGTACGTTGAATACATATATATATTAGCATTGTTTAACAGCCAATACAAGCATCGGCAAGCATGGACCTGCATAAATAAAAAAATGTGTTGCGTCGCGCCTACATGACTGTAAAACCTTGAAGATTTTCTTTATTTCGCAGCCTGGTGTTCTGATGTGAATATAGACTGGTACCACGGCCATCCAGTCACTGGCCACTACCACAAAATACAGACATATCTTCACCGGCCAGTTTATAAGAACGAAGACAAAGACCAGTACTTATACTTCAACAGCACACATTGGATAGTGGCTTGGGAGACGAAGAACGTAGCAACACTATTGATGTATGTAAGAGATAAACCTATGAGACCTGAAGAAGTAAAAAAGCCATGGAAAGTACTTCTGGAAGACGGCTTAACGTTTGGAGACGCCCCAGAAATTCGGCTTACTTGCTCTGGTGAGTTGAGATTCCTGGGTCACGTTAAGAGATAAGACTATACTTTTGGAAATAACTTTTGCTTTGCATGGATTTACCCTCCCATACACAATATAAATCAGCGTTATGTTGGTCTTATCATATCAAAAACTCCATCCAGCGATATTAGATCCAACTTCCTACATATACGGACACGGCATGCATCAACATATCTGGTTATCTTTAATGTTGGGGAACCTGGCATAGGATTCTCTCTAGTAAGGCACGGGAAATGGAAGTCATTTATTTCATACGGTGATGTTAAATGGTACCCAAACTTTGTGCCATGGTCAAATAGATGAATAGAAGAGAAAAAACATTGCCAAATATTGACTAGTAGTAGTACACATCATCACTGAAAGGGTAAATGATGCAGAAACGACAAAAACACGCTGATATTTGACGTACGTCACGTTTGACACGATCTGCGGCCTTGCGTTCAGCTATGCCGTCTTTGACCACTGTTGCGAACATAGAATTAATAGATCTAGACACGCCTAAATCAAACCTGTGTTCATTTATATGCATCACCTCCCTCCATGAAGAAATGGCTGTCTTGAATGTTTTATTTCGCAATCTATCAGAGACACCTGTGCCAAGCGGTGAGAATGTGTGCATGGATACAAGAACACACGCTTGTCTGGAAACAGTTCAAGTCCAGCGGACTGTCAGGTGTGGATTCATGTGGCTACACTCCTGCAAAAGGTATTGATTGTCACACGTATCATTATTACTATGTAAAGTGCCCATCAATCACCCACGTTGTTATCACAGCTGTAGTCGTATATAGTCATATTGTAAGGAATACACAACGAGGGCAACGAAGAAAGAGGAAACATAACTGATCCAAAGGCTAACACTTAGCCTTGGACTGTGGAGATGTAGAATATATGGATGTCGTTGATCATCGCTTGGTGCAATTTTGCGCTACATTCGTCACCTGCAAACAGGTGAAGTGTATGTGATTCATTCATTGTTTTTCACGGGCAAAATGCATCCCATATCTATTGAAGCTAGCCTTTCTGTTGAATACTAGCCTTTGCTATACCTTATGTATACGACGTCTTGATGGAATGTTCAAATGATTAATCATAGTGTTACTTTCTGTATTCTGTTGACAGAAATTTCACGGAAAAACGGCAGGCGATATGTGCCTATACTCGCTACTTCTGCTGCAAGGGATTCATCCAGGAAGGGACAGAATGCATCAAAGGTAAAATAGAACTGTAACATTTGCAAAGAAAATGCATAATGTTTACCTTCGCATATGGTCTGCTCTGTTAATTCTTACTCAAACACATCCATATATATGGTGACAGGAGTCTAAATCCCTCCTGCTATAAAATTGCAACATAATGTAACCTAACACTAGTTACCATGGTGACAGTCTGGTTGACCAGGTCAGAGGTCAGTGGAAATGAAGAGGAGGAAGAAACAGAGCAAAAACAAAATAATAATAAAACATAATAACATGTAACTAGTATTAACATATGCTATTGACATGTTATTGTGTCATATCACAAGAACATAGGTTATACACAAGAACTCTTTACAACTTGAGCCTTGCCCTTTGACCTCGCGCATGCACAGTTCATAAAATGAAGTGGCTTATTTCAGGTCATCTCCCCTGGCAGGAAGAGCTTCTTACCCAGGGTCTGATTGATCACGTTGTTCCCTTCCTACCTCTAGCAGTGGAGCATGTCGAAATGTGTATCAGGGATGTCCTACGCGAGCTGAACAAGGAAACTAATATGACCATGGTACGTGCTGTTCTTATATATAAGATATGTGATTGGAAATGTAAAATAAAAAGTGCAGTATGGTTTTAGTTTGGAGTGATTTGTAGGCGTTTCAAAAATTGTTTGGTCAGATACCTAAAGTCTAGCGCCATTTGTTTGATAGATTTCATTCATGCTGTAGATCAAAAGGAGTCAAAATCTAATTACTACTATTGAAATACGTCAAACAAAATATGCTAATCTTAAAAGTTGCACTTAGAATTTCAAACCCATTTGTGTGCCCCTACAGACCAGGTTAAGACGACTAGCAGACGAGATGCCCTACCTGCCTAAGCATGCCCTGGTCCAGTACTCTCAAAATGGATGCTTCAGAGTCAGAAATCTAGTCATCACTAGCATGGCTGATATGGACTGAAAACAAATTGACGACACAAAAGGGAACCTTTTGACACTAAAACTTCAGCAGAAAATTAAGATGAGGGGCTGTACAAGCAACTTTGCAAAGTTCCTCCATGGAGGTTGCTTGCACAGCCCCTTCGAATCTGAAGGTAAAGTTGGACATAGTACAATATGTTAAGCAATCTACAACCTGCACTAGAACTCATTGTACAACTATCTACAACCTGAGCTATAACATGGTAGCCTGGATCAACAATCTACAATTTTGGCTACAACACATGGTACATGGGCGAGAAAACAGCAATTGTTGCAAGTTTATAATAAAATGCAAAACGTACATACTGTAACAGTGAATGATGAAAGACGCAATAAATGGATGTGCAATATAAAGTGCCTATATTATTAAAGCATGTTAAGCATAAGACCTTGTAGATCAGTTGATGTAAAACATACACACATACAGCCTGAAGATAACTCATCTCTACTTAATGACTCGAGTATCTCATCTACCCATCAAACACACCAACCCTGACCCGATGAGCCACCCACTACAGAATAAGTGTTCTCCAAAGACTCTTCCTACACGAAACAGGGAGGCTATTTTTACATCCAATCAAGTATCGGCTTATCTCTCTCTTGGTAATCACCCTCCCACACACAGAAGGGCGCACTTGTGAGTAAATGAAGGGCTTTGTGATCAACAGGGCAATGGGCTTTTCAGTACCTGGAGAGCAATTAGATACTACTTTCCAGAATGATGGAACTACAAGCAAAGAATACAAATTCTACTTAACAAGAGATTCTGAGAAGCAGGAACTATACATGTACATGGAAAATTGTATGTAAAATTCTGTAGGAAGGCACAGACAGACAGACAGACACACACACACACACACACACATGATTTCTTTTGTATCTTTTCTGGGTTACCTTTATGCTAACTTCAATATATTTAGAAACAAAACACAGACAAAAACACACAAACAGATTCATATTGGACCCCAAAGTCACATGTAATATCCATCTAACCAATGCAATGTTTGTAGGAAGAAGAAAAAAATCTCATATAACATTTGGAATTCCTTCCAGCACAACTATCAGAATTACTGTAGTCCATATGGTTGAGTTTAGGCTGATGAACAGCAAAGTATCTTCATACACGTTTGAGACACAGGCCAAGTGGTTCTTACATATCTATGTTTTTCCTGTGGCAAAATTCAGCCCTTTGTTTTAGTGGAAGGGCAGTAGCCCTCAGAAGTCTACATTACATTACATTGCAAATTGCCACCTTGCATTGGCACATGTCTAGTGCCCTTTCAGAGAAGTAGAAAGAGTTTACAAACCATTAGGAAGAAGAGCCAATATCTGGCAGAGTTGTGCATTCATTAACACGGTTTTTAGTACATTTGTAAGACCAGAGGCTGTTTGTTACAACAGCCTTCAAAGGTTAGCCGAGTATTTCTTAGAATTACACAATCCGCGGATTATCAGTCACTTATCCCGCCATTCTAACTTCAAGTTTTCCGCGATAAAAGCGTAGATATCCGAAGTTTCTTCAATCTGCAAGAAAAATACAAACTTTAACAAGAAAAAAAATCACAAGTTCTTGATCCCATTAAATGCATGGTTGCAACAAAGATCACCAAAGCACACAGGCAGAATTCGCAGGTAAGACAGCTTCATAATTCTCTTGAAGTAGTGAGTGAGAAGAAGCAGTGAAATACATTCTAAACATCAATGCTTTTGATAAGCAAGTGTATGGATGCAGACTAGAAACATTCTATTAACCAGTAGTGATTGCACAATTGAGGTTCAAACATTACATACTATTGTTAAGCCTATACACTACTTGGTCCATTATTGAAATTGTTGCATGCTGAAACGCCCTGCATGTTCAGTCACACCCTGAAATTGCATGTACCTCTGTCTTGTATTGAAGTTACTTTTATTCATGTGTTTTCTGGATGATTATCATCATCATTATTATGTTATGGCACATGCAAATGCTTATTTTGCAAGTGCAAAATAAATGTATGCAAATGATGCGTTAGAAAACATAACATCATATTAAAAATAATATGATGCTAATTGTAATAGTTAATTGCATGCAATTAACTAAAAAGTCATGTCAGCTTTGCAACAAGACCTGAGTATTTGACTTGCATAAAAAGAATCAACTGATTAAAAAAAAACAATGCCTAGGCAAAAAATGTTAACAAATTGAACTGGTAACAAACAGTGTATCAATTGTTTTACCTCAACGTAAACAAAACACCAACAAAGTTTGCAACAGCACGCATACTACATTTGCCAGCAAAATACAAAACACATCAATTCTTTTTATTCCAATGCATCATGATATGCAATCAACAACAAGAATGTTGAAGAGAATGTATATTTACCACTTTTGCTGTTGGTTTGCCGAAGCCGTGTCCAGACTTGGTGTCCACACGGATGAACAGTGGGTTGGTCTAAAGAAATAAATTAAAAGAGTCATGATTTCAAAGTGCAGCTGTAAACATCAGTTTGTTCTAAGGATCCCAGACAGCATATGTTTAAGCCAGTTCTCAGTTTGAAGTGTGCATGGTATCAAGCATGGTGTAGACAAGAATTGACAATAAACAAGTTAGGGGGTTTCACCTTATTAGGCATGTACACTTAAAACTGCGAAATGGCTTATTGACCACACACCATTGATTTTCGTAGAAAGCTACCTGTACCTGGAATAGCCCTTATCTGCAGCGATTTCTTTGTGAACTTGTATATATGAGAATCCTATTATAAATTACAATATAAAGTTCCCTTGCCTATACAGAAGTCTCCTTACCTTGTACTTCTAGGAATGCTGAAGAATGACATTTCCTTACCTGCTGTGGGTCGCTACCCAGAGTGTGCTGTATTTCAGCCATGAACTTGAGGGAATGGAGAGGGACCACACGATCATCATGGTCACCTGTCAACAGCAAGATAGCCGGGTACTGCACCACTGAGTCTGTCGGCTTCTTGATGTTATGTAGAGGGGAGTATCTATGGAAACATGGAGATTGTTTAAAGTTAAAACTTTTGATCCAACACATATGATATGCAAACATGATATGGACAGGGACAAATGGCCGAAGAGGATCCTCACACTGGATGTGGAGGGTCCAAACCCCCGTGGCCGCCCTAGAAGAAAATGGTACGACAATGTACGGGAGGACCTCCACCACCTGAACTTAGATAAAATCAACCCACAGGACAGAGACAAGTGGCGTGCTGCCATCAAGCCCCAGATGTATTGTGCAAGCACGTCTAACCCTTGGAAGACGGGTAACAACAGACGATAAACCGGACAGTGACTGAGTGAGTGACAAAAAGTTCTCTCAGCAGTCACTCTGGTCTTCCTCAGTAGACTGAACCAGTGGGGCTTGTTTGAAGCGTGACATCAACACAATATAGTTTCTTGCTCAGATACATCTTTACCATTTTAGTAGATTATTCAAGCCGCATTGCTTGAATAAGTATAGCTACTGGTAAAAAGCATCATACTTTACCTCTATCAAGGATGATTGATGATGACACATGTTTTACAGTATACTTTCATTATAACAGGCAGGTATCATCTTTGCTATGATTAAAAATTTAGTAATATGAATAGTCCCTTCAATGGCTGAAGGGACTACCCATATGTTTTAAAGATTAATAAATAAAAAAATAAATCAATAATAATGTGTCTATCTGGGAAGAATACATTAATCAAGGAAGAAAGTAATTTCAAGAAGAATACATCCACCTTACACAGCTTTAATTTACTTTACTTACTACTTTTTTTTACTACTTGAAAGAGTTTTCTTACTTAATGAGGTAGTCAAAGCCCTCCTTGTCATCTGAACAGCCGAAGTCTGTAGTCCAGGCATGGCCGATGGTGAACTTATGAAACTTCAACATGTCCATCACACTAGAAATATATGTAAACACAGAAAAAGTGCTTCAATATAGTTCAGTACACATACATGTAAGAAAGTGGCTAGACATCAGTTAATTCAGTAGAGACTTTTTGAAGCACATGTTTATAGTCTCATTCTATTCTACTTGTTTCCTATAGATACCATTAGATATTAAACATTTGTTAGCGTGAAAGTCAGCAAATATATTTGTCCGGTTCAGGAATATCTAGTACATGGTTTACTCACGGCACTTGTGACACAGCACAGCCAAACAGATCAGGTCTCTGGTTTACACAGGCTCCCACCAGTAACCCTCCATTGGACCCTCCATTGATCGTGATCCTAGAGCATTGTGACAATGTATTATATATTTTGTACTTAAGACAACAGCATGGGGGGGTGTGTGTGTGTGTGTAGAATACTGCTAGAAAAGGACAAGTAGTTATAATTACATTTTAAGAAAATAGTAACTACAGCTTCAAAAGTAAAATGACACAAACATGGCAATATGGCAAAGACCTTAGGCATTTCCAAAAACATACATGACACAATAAAGTAAAAGATTAAGAATAAAAATAGAAACAAGTTCTTACATGACAATGTAGCATTTTAAATCCTAAAACAACAATGGGCATTGGGATTCAAACATGCTGACTAGGGGTGTGTACCAGTAAGCAACATTCATCCACACTGCTTATCTAATTTCCTTTTCAAACAACTCTAACCACATACTTGGAAGCTGAGGTGTACTTGTTCTTGATGAGGTACTCAGCTGCACACTGGAAGTCATCAAAAACATTCTGCTTCTTCTCCTTAGTGCCAGCCTTGTGCCAGATCTCTCCATATTCACTACAGGGGTTAAAAAAAGAAAACACTTGATGAAAGCTAGAAAGACCACTGTTTCAGGATCCAGAAATATGCTTGATTTGATTTTAATTTGTTTTATTGAAATTGTCACGATGCAATGCACGTGAGGCACAGGCAGCTTTTGCTGGTGTTGTGCCCCACACATAGAACATTACAATCACATATAAAAATATAATATTATGCTTTTTGTTGTTTAGGAAGGATAGGAAGAGATGGAGAGCTATCATTGGCATCGAGGGAAGCTCGACCCAGTGAGTGAGTGAGAGAGTGAGTGAGTGAGTGAGTGAGTGAGTGAGTGAGTGAGTGAGTGAGTGAGTGAGAGTGAGTGAGTGAGTAAAAGTTTCTACAGTTTTGAAAAAAATGCTGGATGTAACAAAGTGACAATGACAGAGCACAATGCAGAAAAGAGTGGTTGAGGAAGGTAGTTGAAAGATTACAGCCTTTAAAAGCTCTCAAAATGCTCTCTCAAGCTTTCTTTTTGACAGTAAACAGTAAGACAGGAAAGCTGTAAATGCCTACCCTCCTCCTCTGATGTTTGGTACAGCCAGAATCCCGCCCAGATGCAGCATGAAGACAATCCTGGACACACTGAAGGCAGGAGTGATGGAGATGTTGAACCCACCGTACCCATACAGCAGCACTGGGTGACTGCCATCCAGTGGGATATCCTGCAATATAAACAAAACATTTCATTTGATTTAATTTGATTTATTGTAATTGTAACACTACAATACACGTGGGACAAAGGCTGCTGTTGTTGGTGTCCCACACATAGAACCAAATACAGGACAGACAAGACTCATTTTTACTTGAGTTAAGTGAGGAAAGTCATGTAAAGTGCCTTTCCCCAGGGCACAAGATCGGTGTCATGTCAGGACTCAAACTCGGGACATCTTGGTTACGCCTCTGCCGTTACGCCACATGACCGCAACAAAACATTCATACAATATATCATGAGCCTATTCCTATGTTATATCATTCCTAAGGTCTAGGGAAAAAAGGTTGTTTTTATGGTTACATAAACTACTCTTAGGCAAAAACCTGGGGGGCATAACTGATTGCTAGAGACATTACCGTACTGTAGTGTAATCAGGAACGCAACATAAAATTTCCTACACCTACCTATAATTCAAATCATAATTCAGTGAACCTGGAAATGTAAGCATCTATCTATTGAGGGAAAGGCATTCTGGAGATAGTCTTGCATATGTTGTACAAAAAGTTGTCTTGCAACTGCTGCCTTAGATCCTTGTTCTGTCGTGTACAGCCTGCTTAAAAATCTTACCACAATAAAATTGTACCCCAAAGTATGGCAAGTGTACCCAAACTATAAGCCAACTGCAGCCCAGACTGTACCCAGGCTGTATTAAGTTATGAGCTGAGACTCGCACACAACTTACTTTCTTGTGCACGATGAACATGGGGACCTTAGTCCCATCCTTGCTGTTGAAGAACACTTGGTCAGTCTGGAAGCCACTCGGGTCAAAGTCTTTCACCTTAATCTGACGGAAGACCTGTATAGTGGAAGACAGTACCGTTACAAAATTTTAGGGCAGACATAGGATTCATCAGTAAGTTGATTATATTCAGTTTAAATTTTTACACACTATGCTGAAAATCTTTTGTTCTGTTGCCAGAAGATCTGTTTTGTTCTGTTCAGTCTAGATTCTCCATTAAATTGTCATAACTTCAAGTACTAGATAAAAGTGAAATACACTGCTACTAAGTACTACTACTAGTAGAGACATCTTCACTAAACAACATTTGCAGTCAAATGTACAGAAGTTAGTTATTGCTATCCCTGTCCTTGGTACTGAACGATTTCCACACTAACACTGCTAACCATCCCTGTCCTTGGTACTGAATCATGTTCATGTTCAGTGTAAATTGTAATATAACCAGCTGCTGCCATGCAATATGCCTGTAAAGCTGGTGTGTTACATACAAGGGCGGTAATACTGCCTATGCCCTACCGTAGGTTCCAGTTTGTCCTTAGTGAGATCACAGTGGTAGATAACACCAGGAGTGAGGAAGGACATGAACTGGTAGAAGATCTCTGAGTCCTTTCTCCTGCCTGAGTACCCCACCACACTGCCTATGTCCAGGGGGAAGGTGGTGACACGCTGGCCTGTCTTCAGCTCATGGAGATACAACTCTGTCTGTAGGGGGAAACAGTGATGTAGTAGAGAAACTAGTTTGCAAGGTTCAGTTGTTTAACAAGATCCCCTGTTTTGATGATGACACTTTGTTATCTTCACCAGGCAATTATGACTGGTCACTGTGCACTGAAAACGCTAGAAACGTTGGCTCTTGTTTAACATGTGGCTGTGAATAAAGACCATTGCTAGGAGAAATGCTAGGGTGCTGTTCTATGCTGTATGCTGTCAGTAATGAGAATAATTCAAGTGAAGACTGCAATGTTATCATTTCTATCTCAAGTCAACTAGCACCTTTAGGTATTCTTGTGAAGTATTCTCTAAACTTTTATTGTGTTTTTCCCATGCTAATTTTGAAAGATGAAATACATCACTTGTGCTGTGAGCTTAGAAGTGTACCTTAACATCATGAAGATAACAGAGAACCAGCTTGTCCTGATTAACACAGGCAGTCCACTCCATCACATCAGTCTCACTCTCTGGCACAAGGTCTGTCCAATGCTCCTGCAGGACAAGAATGGTGTGTTTAAATGCAGGCATCTCCAGGGGCGGAAAGAAATGTATATGTCTGGTGATGTTAAGAAGACTACCCTGTATTGCGTTGGAAATTTCTACATCAATATCATAAAGACACTTGCATTGGAACTGTCAGAAAGGTCATTTCTGCTTAGCATATACACTGACTTTGCTATCACTCTCTTTAGTACTGAATAATATTCACACTAACAAAAAAAATGCTATCCCTGTCCTTGTTACTGAATGATGTTCACCCTAACATTGCTGTCCCTGTCCTTGGTACTGAATGATGTTCACACTGACACTGCTATCCCTGTCCTTGGTACTGAATGATGTTCACACTAACACTGCTATCCCTGTCCTTGGTACTGAATGATGTTCACACTGACATTGCTATCCCTGTCCTTGGTACTGAATGATGTTCACACTGACATTGCCATCCGTGTCCTTGGTACTGAATGATGTTCACACTAACACTGCTATCCCTGTCCTTGGTACTGAATGTGAATGATGTTCACACTAACATTGCTATCCCTGTCCTTGGTACTTCAACTTCAGCAGTAAGTATATAGGCAAAAAGAAGAAGAAGCAAACAGAGGACTCACCATTTCCGGTTTGCTGAAGTCAATATTGATGAGTTTGTAGCGAGGGGCATTCAGATTAGTCTTGAAGGTGAACACAGTTCCTTCATTTGCAATGTACTGTCAAGCAGAGAAAGAAACATTTAAGTTACAAGTGATAAAATTCTTAACCCATGATACAAAAGTGACATCTAGTGACTGATACAGGAATTGCAGCTGACAACATGTTGGTTGTTGGAATCTCCATCAGTGTTAAATAAATTTCACACTATTCTTCCTGGAGTTCATAAGGCTGATGATTTAAATCACCATTTGGCTAATATGTGATCAGGGTTTGCCAGGCCTCCTTCCGTGTAATCTGTAGTCAAACACCAACTTCCAGACACTATTAGTAGTATTTGTACCATCATTTTTGATACTGAGTAGTAACTTACATTTTTACCAGTCCCTATTTAAAATTCTTGATCCATTTCATACCAAGCATGCCATGTCCTTACCTCATACTCTGCATCAAAGTTGTCTGCGACCTTGACCCATGGCAGTATCCCTGTGACCTTGTAGTCCATGGTCTGAAGGTCGCAGTAGTACAGCCGGTTCACGGGGTCACACCCCTCCCTGATGGCCAGGATAACGTACCTGCCGTCATCCGACACTTCAGCGCCACTGCCAAAAATAATGTACATTAAGGTTGGTGAATTGAAGTGAATAACCAACTCTATACAGTAGCATGCCCCTACTCTTTTTCAAAAGGTGTGGTGGGTGTGGCTCTCCCCAAATGCGGGACCTTCACTCCATAGCCAAAACTAGGTACTCATTTTCACCTCATTTCGAACCCAGGACCTCTTGTGCTCATACAGAAGAGGTCCTGGGTTCGAATCCTACTCATGTCACCGATCTTGTGCCCTTAGGAAAGGCACTTTACACGACTTTCCTCGCTTCACTCAGCAGCAGTATAAATAAGTTAATCCAAATATAAATATCATACAGCTTAAACATTCAAATAGATTATCTGAGTTCTCTACATATACAACATTTATAAAGCAAAATAAAAGTAGTAGCGCTACTTACGGCATCCATTTTGGGTGGTCTGGAAACTCCCCACAGAGCACATCCTCTGATTGGTCGGTACCGATCACATGGTAATACAGCTGAAAATAGTAAATAAGAAAATATGACAATGTGTCCAGTGATTGAATTATGAACAATACTTACCTTTTCGTGGCATTCTTTGTTTTCTATAGTACACAAAGCTATGTGCCACTATTCATAAAATATTTTTCTACGAACTTACAACAGAAGAGAATGGAGTGTGCTTCATTATTTTGCTCTTACAACAATGTTACATTTAGGGCACTGTCTTAAATACCTACCTTTTGATGAAGATTTGCTGTAGTCTCAGTTCCATCAGCTTTGGTCTCTGGTTCTGGAAACCTCTGTTTAAAAAGAATCAGAAATGATTCTTACTAATAAATAACATTGTAGCTGTTTCATTCAAACTATAATTTCATTTAAAGAGTTGTATTTAAAAGATCTTATAATAATATCATCTAAAAGATCTTATGATATTCTTTCAATGGTAGTTATTTGTTCTTAATAACAAAATGGCCAATGTGTCCATGTGTGTATAGCCTGTGCATGTGTGTGTTTACTGACTTACATTATAGAACGTGTATGTCATTGTGTTTGTGTGACTGTGTGTGTGCATGTGTGTGTGTCCATGTGTGCGTATGTGTGTGTGTGCGTGCGTGTGTACAGACTTACATTATAGAACATGCCCTTGTGGTCGTGAGTCCAGCTCATGCAGCTGAACTTGACATACTCCAGTGTGTCAGGCAGCTGTTCTGCTCCTGCCACCTTCATGAACTGTCAGGATATAAAACATAAAAACAAAGTGTCAATCATGTACTCAAATACTGTAGACTGTCATATACTTGGAAAACATTGGCAGATTGAAGTAGCTATATATATATATAGTTTAATCAGGTTGGTAAATCAAAGCTCTTTTCATCTAACATCCAAGTGTTCACACCTAGCACTGTCACCTGTTTGAGGGCAATATTGCTACACAATGCTGTGAATGTTTCCCAAATGTGACTGAGTTTAACTCAAGTCTGGACTGTGATGAGGGATATACACAAACTCATATAATAATTCAATCCAACACATGGCATAGTTCTATATTCTATGGCAATCTTTATCAGTCGATATCTTTATTTGCAATCAAATACAGATTCATGTACAGATACATATTCATGCACAGATACAGATTCATGTACAGATACAGATTTTATGAGTAGGATGACTGTGTCAGTCCCTACACCTGAGTGAGGGTTACAGTTGACACGGTGGCCTTCGCGTGGATTTGTTTAAAGTGGATAACAGGTTGCGATTATGAGACCCACACACTTGGACATCCGTATTCCCCAGCGGATCCATATCGAGGGAGACGTGCTGGTTCCGGTTGGTATGCCTGCAGCGACCTGCCGGATGACTTGGTTTACGCTCAAGGTCCGCCTTGACTACGCCAGCCCGCCTGGCGCTGCTCTCGTCTGCCAGCTGAAGACAACTGCCTTTGGAGACTTGTCCCTCTATTTTAGGGGGGATACGTGTAAAGTGCCTTTCCCAAGGGCACAACATCGGGACGCATGTTCGGACATGCCCCTGTGCTCCGACCCAGAATCGAACCCGGGGCTCCTTGTTGTACACCAAACGCTCTGTCCACTACGCCACACGACGCCACTGTACATGGCATAGTATTACTTTAGTTATTAGGTTACAGACCTTGTCAATGGTGTGTAATACCCCTAAAGGTGGTTTACTGGTTACCTGAAACATGAAAAAAACAAACCTTGATCGTGACCCAATCAGAGCCGCTCTTGCTGATCCCGTATGCAAAGTACTCCCCATCCTCTGAGAAGGCAGAGCCGCGCAGACTGACGGTACCATCCTCTGAGAACTTGTTGGGATCCAGGAAGACTTTGGCTTCAGCATCAAGGGAGTCTTGTACATACAGCACACTGGAAGCATATTGCAACCATAAGTAAGGTTCCTTTACCAATCGTTGGTTTAGATGTATGCTAAGTTCTTCATATACCAATAAAACTTTAAACAATATCATGCAATACTATGCTTTACTATACAGCTTCAAAAAGAATGTGTTAGTCTGAAATACAAGTTATATAATGAACAACAACACTGCTCTACTCTTTCTTCTATCACAACTTCTTAGAACTATACTATAGTAGTAAAACCAACCCTGCAATATAAGGGCACCCCACACATCTAATCTAAATGTCACTACCCAGGCATTTATGATTTTGCTACCAAAAAATTGTATCTCAAATCTCTCCCTCCTTACCTCTGGTTCTGGAGTCCAGTGTTGTAGTAGTAGAAGTAGCGAGATCCCCTCTTGAAAGGACAGCCATACTTGGGATAGTCCCACATCTCCTTCAGCCTGTCACAGAGATAGAGTCACAGAAACATCATTGAATAGCTTATGCAAGGTTTGATTGAATTCTTGTCTATGGTAAAAAAAAAAAAAGAAATGGAGATTTTGGCATGTATCCACAGCAAATAGAACACTGTCACACACATCTCTACAAGGAAAGATGGAAGGTGCAACTTGCTGAGCAATATGCATGGAGTGCATGGTCGTAAACCAGAATGGCTGACCGCCAGAAGTGGAGAACTTTGTGAACAAAAAGAGTACCCCTACAGATTGAGCTATATGGGTATGCCATGGTCTCACTACCTGGCCTGAAACTGTTTCCTGACTGCACATTTCTCCAGGTACGGGAGGGTGATGTTGTTCTGAGCCTCCACAAAAGCCTTGGTCTCCTCTCCATCTGGGTCCTCCAACCAGGAGTAGGGATCAGGTACCTGCAACACACAGAAAATACAAAAACTTATATAATATATTCATCTACTATAACATCTGTATTTGTATATCTGGTATAACTGCCCCTCAATATAACTGACCACTTTGCAGGGAAAGGCATGTGGCGCAGTGGCAGCTGGCTCCAAATAAGTAGTAACACTTTGAGTGCAGCCTTTGCACACCTAGTACAACTAGAATGTATTACTTAACGTGTATTAAAATTTTGTGAAACTAGAATAAAGTTACATAATTTACATGTACCATTAACGTTATATATTTACCTAAAAGAAAAAAGTGTGGTCGTATATTTTTGCTGTACATTTTACCCTGATACCAATACTTTTAAGTCCGTGTACACGTATACAATGTTTTGTACAAGCAAGAGTAGTTCCTGTTATTGTTCCCGACTTCCACGTTTCTGTCGCATATGTCGCCCCCCTCCCCCCTAACTGACTAAAACAAGAGATGCAATACCTTGTTGCCGTGGTAGTCGTCTATAGCCGACTCGTCTCTCCTTGCCTCTGGGTACTTTATGGCAGCCATGGCGTAACAAACTCTGCTTTTCTGTCGGAATTCTGAGCTAAGTCGTGAAAAACGTCTGACAGCAAAACGAAAAGCCGTGACTGTGCGGTACCGGTGCGGTGACCCCCGACCCGGAAATGGATCAGTGAACAAAAACGCAAAGGAAGTGGATCAGTGAACCAAAACGCAACGAAACGAGACACAGTTTAGTTCAGTAGATCGTGTAAAAAAAAACTTTAAATGAACATATCAATCAAATTTATTCTCTGAATATTAAACAATGAATTAAACCTGAAAAAGTATCTCTGGGTTTGGATCTACGTTTACTTTATTTCTTTACTGGTGTGTTTTAGATGATTTCTTTACATTGCGTTTCACTGCGTTCAGTGTTCCATGATGCACAAGTGCTGCGCCAACAACTCAGTTCAAGGTCATGAAGGTAACATTTTAGACGTTTTGTGGCCATAAAGGTGACTTGCCATCGTCAGAAAAAAAACATTATATTGCTTCTAGATGTGTACGGAACATACTGAAGTCGACTTTGTCAACTTTGTACTGAATTGTGACTGACTGTTCCATGGATGACTGAGTCACTGACAGCGCCAGGTTGAATACTGACAAATTTTAACCGCCATTTTTACATTGTGAATGCCACCATTTGTGAACATGTGATTGTACTTTAAGTTGATGTGACTGTACTTTAAGTAGAAAGTATAAGAATATTCAGTATTAAAATCTAAAGGGGTCAAACGGTTTACCGTTGCAGCCTTTGAAGTTCAACGATGCTTCTTTCACACACCAGGCCCAAGGAGCTTTTCTTGGCCCCTCATGTACTTTTGATGAATCATCAACTTTGCCCGTCACATTCGTCGACGATGCCGGCCACCTGGCAGCTTTCCACTGTCTTCAGCCCAGTGCTTGCCTTCATGCTACCAGGTGAGACCCCCATCTCTTCTTACAAAATGAAATGTACTAGTAGGTCTCTCATAACGGTGACTGTTTTTCCAAGGTCATTTGTTGACCCCCCCTGTGGTTTTCCTTATCAGTAGTTCTGAATTTGATTACCCAGAAAGCTGAAATAAGGTGTATGAAATTTTAACTCTTGCCATGACCCATTTTTTCCCGTATTGTTAATAATTTGGTGGATTTATGGTCAACTCTTCTTAGAAGATCATATCCATAACCATATATACTAAGTAGTTTCCTAATTGTTTTCAGTGGCCAGTGCAAGGGTGATACTTCTAGTTCTACTGTAGCTGCTGGGTGTCCTCAGAGTACCCTCCCACAAGTTTGCAGTAGGGGTAGAAAAGACCAAGTATTTGGGATGGCTCACCACTAGACGAGAAAGACACTACTCTGACAGTTGTGGTAAGTATTGCCTGAGGTAAGTGTGCGGCATAAGAAATATCATTAGTATGCTAATGTCTGTACCCCAAACTGTCATCTGTAATGATTTATCAATTTTGTTCCTACTTAATACTACATTTTTTGGTATATAGAACATACATCAATGATTGATTTCAAACGTTTACGGTAATAATGATCGCCATAGGTATCATGGATGACTACAAGATATGGGCAATTGTATTATACTAGAGTAGAGGGATACATGTGTGTTACAGGTAGTTGATAGCAACAGTGTGTTTTGGTGATGTTGTTTTATGTGAATTTTGTGGATGATACTACATGTACTAGATATTTCTTTTCAGGTCAACGAACACCCTTCCTGATGATGAGCTTTTATTCCCGGCAAAGACTGTGAAAGTACATGAAAAAACCATCATAATATAATGTTGGGACCTCCCATCCATACACATTAGTAATAAATGCATATTACTTGTACACCGTTTGATGATATCTTAGCTTGTTCACCATACCAAACAAATCACGGGTTCCACCTAACATTATCCCAAACTTCTGTTCGTTCTCTCCTAGCCCAATGATTATACTTTCATTCCCTTTGTCGAAGTTCAGGCAAAATATTAAAATGCCTACTCTATAACACAAAGCAATGATCAAAAGTTCCATTTCTCCTTATTGTTTCCCGTTATGTTTGTTGTTTCATAAAGAACAACTTAACAAGGCAGTATTTATGACAGTTCCACTTCCATATATAGCTTTGACTAGACCAATGCATGTGCTAACAATGTGACTGTCATTCATAGTGTTGCTATGTACTTGGAAAAGCATAGACCGACTGTCCTACTCACCAATAATTAATAAAGTTTGATATCTCTAACATTAGCTAAGGCGTATCTGTTGTCTCAAAAACCATTTAAAACATGCCACTTAGGCTAGCCATTGAACTGTGATGAGAAGTTACACGCAATTTGGACGTTTCGACCTTTGAAGTTGTAGCCTTCTTCTTGTGCGAGCTCTTTTTCTTGCGTTTTGAGGTGGTCACCTTTGTTGCAGTTTCTCCAAATGTAAATGTAACAAGCTTGGTCTTGACTTTGGATGTTAGGAAGGAGAATCCTTTTGCGAGTAGCCCACTGGATGCGCTCGTTGATGTCTTCTCCTTTGTACTTGTAGACGTCTGCTTGGCTTTCTCGATGATCATTTCAGCCCGCATGGCGATGTGCTCGTGCCAGGTGACCATGTGGATCTTGACGTATCGTGCCGTGAAGGTGCCGTTGAAGGTCTTGAAAGAATGAGTGACCGGTGTATCGGTGTCAGCATTGCCTGTGAAGATCTGGTGAGGAAAATGCGATAAGAAAGCTTTAGTTTCTCATCACAAAGTACATTTGTAAATCATTCACCTAGATAATGAAGGATCAAGATTCATTCGAGCCTTTGCTTTCGCTGTGTTTTTTTTTTGGTTCGACTCATCAGGAACTTAAATGTATGTGTTGTTTCTTACTTTGTACTTTCCTTATGATATGATTTCCCTATTTTATTTCGCTATCTACTTACCACAACTTCGCCTTTGGTATCCTTGTACTCCGTCTCATCTCCATTCTCCAGACCGTAGGAGATTTTGTACGACGTTACCCACTGCTGTGTGGGTCCCCCAGGCCAGTCTGGACTGGAGTTCCTCCCCTGTGTGACAATCCCGGTGACCAGCTGAGCTGACTCCAGGTCGATAAGAAGGAACTGTTTGTCATCGTTCACTTTAGCACACCAGGCTCCAGCCTCAGTCGCCGTCTCTATGCATGAGAACTTGGCCCGAGTAACGGAGGTCTGGACACTGAGAACACTTGAGGTTGTCACAACGATTGTAATAGTGGTGCTGGCAAATACAGATTGTTTAGAAATAGTTGTTGTGATCGCTGTCATCTTTGCTTTCATCTCTGACTGAAGTTTTACCGGCTCGGATTTGAAAACCATAGCTTTCTGTATTGTTTCCACATGTACAGACGATTCTTCCTTCTTGATGGATAACTCCTCTTTAGCTACCTCTGCTTTAGTCAACTCTTGTTCTTTGCTCACGGCATGCGCAGCTACCTTGTCCAATTCTTGGGCCTTAATGTCAACTGACGTACTGCTCTCGGTCACAGTTTCATCTTTCTTTGCTTGCATTTTCTCTTCCTTTGTAACTTCAGACTTTGCTGCTTCTGCGACTACTGTCTCTGCCTTGGTTTCTGTCTTTTCTTTCGTCACTGTTACCTCGGTCGCAGTTTCTTCTTTCTTTGCTTCCACTGTCTCTTCCTTTGTAACTTCAGTCTTCGCTGCTTCTGCGACTACTGTCTCCTCCTTGGTTTCTGTCTTTTCTTGCGTCACTGATACCTCGGTAGCAGTTTCTTCTTTCTTTGCTTCAACTTTCTCTTCTTTTGTAACCTCAGTCTTCGCGATTTCTGCAACCACTGTCTCTTCCTTGGTTTCTGTCTTTTCTTGCGTCACTGATACCTTGATTGCAGTTTCTTCTTTCTTTGCTTCCACTGTCTCTTCCTTTGTTACCTCAGTCTTCACTGCTTCTGCGACTACTGTTGTCTCCTCCTTGGTTTCTGTCTTTTCTTGCGTCACGGATACCTCGGTTGCAGTTTCTTCTTTCTTGGCTTCAACGTTCTCTTCTTTCGTAGCCTCAGATTTTGCAGCTTCTTCGACTACTGTTTTCTCCTGCTTGGTTTCTGTCTTTCCTTGTGGCACTGATACCTCGGTTGCAGTTTCTTCTTTCTTTGCTTCAACTTTCTCTTCTTTTGTAACCTCAGTCTTTGCAGCTTCTAGGACTACAGTTGTCTCCTCCTTGGTTTCTGTCTTTTCTTGTGTCACTGATACCTCAGTAGCAGTTTCTTCTTTCTTTGCTTCAACTCTCTCTTGAGCAACCTCAGTCGTCTTGGTTTCCTCGACCACAGATGTCTCTTCTTTCTGAGCCACCTCAGTCTTGGCTTCCTCAACCACAAATGTCTCGTCTTTCTGAGAAACCTCAGTCTTGGTTTCCTCGACCACAGCAGTCTCTTCTTTCTGAGCAAACTCAGTCGTCTTGGTTTCCTCGACCACAGCAGTCTCTTCTTTTTGAGCAACCTCAGTCGTCTTGGTTTCCTCGACCACAGCAGTCTCTTCTTTCTGAGCAACCTCAGTTGTCTTGGTTTCCTCGACCACAGCAGTCTCTTCTTTTTGAGCAACCTCAGTCGTCTTGGTTTCCTCGACCACAGCAGTCTCTTCTTTTTGAGCAACCTCAGTCGTCTTGGTTTCCTCAACTACAGATGTCTCTTCTTTATGAGCAACCTCAGTTGTCTTGGTTTCCTCGACCACAGCAGTCTCTTCTTTTTGAGCAACCTCAGTTGTCTTGGTTTCCTCGACCACAGCAGTCTCTTCTTTCTTAGCAACCTCAGTCGTCTTGGTTTCCTCGACCACAGCAGTCTCTTCTTTTTGAGCAACCTCAGTCGTCTTGGTTTCCTCGACCACAGCAGTCTCTTCTTTATGAGCAACCTCGGTTGTCTTGGTTTCCTCCAACACAGATTTCTCTTCTTTTTGAGCAACCTCAGTCGTCCCCGTTTCCTCGACCACGGATGTCTCTTCTTTTTGAGCAACCTCAGTCGTCTTGGTTTCCTCGACCACAGATGTTTCTTCTTTCTGAGCAACCTCAGTCATTTTGGTTTCCTCGACCACAGCAGTCTCTTCTTTCTTAGCAACCTCAGTCGTCTTGGTTTCCTCGACCACAGCAGTCTCTTCTTTTTGAGCAACCTCAGTCGCCTTGGTTTCCTCCACCACAGCAGTCTCTTCTTTCAGAGCAACCTCAGTTGTCTTGCTTTCCTCAACTACAAATGTCTCTTCTTTCTGGGCAACTTCGGTAGTCTTGGTTTCTTCGACCACAGCAGTCTCTTCTTTCTGAGCAACCTCAGTTGTCTTGGTTTCCTCGACCACAGCAGTCTCCTGTTTCTGAGCAACCTCAGTTGTTTTTGTTTCCTCGACCACGGATGTCTCTTCTTTTTGAGCAACCTCAGTCGTCTTGGTTTCCTCGACTACAGATGTCTCTTCTTTCTGAGCAACCTCCGTCGTCTTGGTTTCCTCGGCCACAGCAGTCTCCTCTTTCTGAGCAACCTCAGTCGTCTTGGTTTCCTCGACCACAGATGTCTCTTCTTTCTGAGCAACCTCAGTCGTCTTGGTTTCCTCGACTACAGATGTCTCTTCTTTCTTAGCAACCTCGGTCGTCTTGGTTTCCTCGACCACAGCAGTCTCCTCTTTCTGAGCAACCTCAATCGTCTTGGTTTCCTCGACCACAGATGTCTCTTCTTTCTGAGCAACCTCAGTCGTCTTGGTTTCTTCAACAACAGCAGTTTCTTCTTTCTGAGCAAACTCAGTCGTCTTGGTTTCCTCGACTACAGATGTCTCTTCTTTCTGAGCAACCTCTGTCGTCTTCTTTTCCTCGACTACGGCAGTCTCCTCTTTTTCAGTAACTTCGGTCTTCTCAGTTTCCTGGACTACAGATTTCTCCTCTTTCATTGTAACCTGGGTTTCCTCCATTACAGTAGTCTCCTTATTCATACTAACCTCGGTCTTCTCGGTTTCCTCAACTACCGTAGTCTCTTCTTTCACAGTGACTTCGGTCTTCTCAGTTCCATCAACTACATCTTTCTCTGCTTCATCTTTCTTATCGTCTTCCTTCGTATCCTTGTCCTTTTCGGTTTCCTTCGCTCGTGCATCTTCCTTTTTCTCTTTCTCTCCAGTCTCATTGTCAGCCTTTAGATTCGTGGTTTCTGTAGACACAAATGTTACTAGATATAGCTCAACATTTTAAGCCATTATTTGCTTTCCAACGGGACGTCCGTATAGCTCAATTTGTGCTCGCGATTTTTCGTTTATAGGCTGTTTACCGGCACCTTGGTGAAAGTATGAGTCTGTGTCTATCAGGACTTAGCTGTGTAATTGGGCCTGCAGAACAAAGTGTGGCTTTGGTAACAGAAAGACAACGTTGTGAACACAGGGACGACAGACAAGCATGCCCGAAACCATGTTTTATTCAAACTCGCAAAGCCTTCCATAAATATTGCATCCACAACGACAATACTATTCAATCATTAACCAACACCATCAGAAAACATTTGTTAATTTTGTAGCCATTACAATGGAATTAAATTGCAACACCCAAACCCCTACCATTGTGTTAACATGTGATTTGACTTCTCGTGATTCTCTTTCTCTCCTCTGTAACTGACAATGTTTCTTTCTCTGAAAACATTTGAAAATCCCCCATAATCCACCGGTATCCAAAAGACCCATATCCAATATAACATGCGAAAGTTCTTGAATATAGAAACTCATTTTGTCTCCATCAGTCTTTTCTGCTATAGCCTGATGTAAAGATATTATGCCGATATATCTTCGTTCTATATGACAATGATTCATAATCCTCCAAAGTGGATGTTGTTGCTCCCTCCGGACACGAAGTTGGCGACTTATTCTGACTGGCAGTTTGGAGCCTGATGTACTGTGGGACCGCAGTCTTACCCTGGAAAACCGGACCAAGGTATGTATGTATTCAGGGACTACTAGATTAAGGGGTAAAGTATGCATGGGGGATCGGGTGAGAGATATGTGGGACACAAATGGCAAGACAATGTCCAGTTTACCCCAAAGTGAACCAAACAAAAAGAGCGAAGACCAGTACACCACTGCATTTTTAAGATGGAGGAAATGCTAGGGCTAGTTCTGAGTGCGCGATTTGCAGATAGTAAGTACCAAGATGCCGGCAAACAGGCTACAGAATGAATTCGAAACAGTTTGTTCATGTTTTTTGTATGAATAAAGTCCGATAATTTACGAAGTATGCAAAAGACATGGCGCGTTTTGCAGTTTGTCAGAAATCAACGTATCCCATCGTACGTTGCCCTAAGTACAGTGCAATGCTACAAATGTTGCAAAGCAGCAAATATATTGCAGACTGTCCCTCGTCGAATCCTTATAACCAGTCGCTAGATTGAAGGCATTTAAGACTTCTAAGTTATACTCCATTGTCATTACGGCCTTTAATCAGATTAAACGTTTGCATAGTTTCCTTTTATACGGCGATTATTTTCATAGTGCTATGAACGTTGAAAGAAACATTGTAAAGTTTAAGAAGTACAAAACCCACCTGCGATTTCCCCTGCTTCAGTTGACACTGCTAGCTTGGTCTCCAGCTCCACGATCTTCATTTTGTAGGTCCAGTTTTCTTTCACAAAGCTCGTCAGCTGGCTTGACCTCACGTGGACGAACCTGTCTTCTTTATCTGTAGATACAACGGTACCGGAAGGCAGTGCATTGGTAAGTTTTCAATTCAATGTTAATGTTCTGAATGATCTATACAGGATATACTAATTCTTCAACATTAGAATACGCTTTCGAGATGCAGTGCACACAGGTGGTTCAAAACCTCACAAACTCACAAAGATACACCGAAATCACTAATAAAATTGAAATCATTATCCATATGAGTGTATACTCCCCCCCCTTGTTTCCTGTGGTATTAGCTAATGCAATTTCTTTACTAAGATAATAACCGCTATCGACAGATAATGATGAGATGTGCACATGTAAGTTGATAGTTTGACTCACCTGCCCAGCCGAAGAACTTCACCTGCACAATGTAGGGCTGTGCACCTCCGTGTGTCTCGGTGACAAGCAGCCTCCAGTACCGGCCCTCTCCTGTGAAGTCCCCGAACACTTGGCCGTCCTTGCTTTCCGCTACCACGTCAGAGAACGTCTTGACGTCGGTCCACTCGTACGGCTCTGCTGTGGCAGACGTCTGGAGCGTGAACGCCTTCACGTCGTGCGACTTGTCCCCGAAGTTGGTGATGCTGATCTTGCTAATGGTAAACGCCATCCTGAAGTCGTAGACGATGTACCATTCCTTGATGGCCGGTGCGTCATTGGTTTTCCAGTAGGTTTTAGTACTGGCAACCAGGGTCTTGTTGGCATCGTACAGGACGCCTTCTTCTTCCACTGGTGTACCCGATGCCTCGATGGCAGTCGGTGGATGCTGGACGAACCACTCACCTTTACAAATATAAAGTGGCATTCATAAACATCAAGTCAAAGTTTGATTGCTATACAGTTATCGTTAATATGATGTTGCAGACTTGCTTAATCACTTTGTTCCGTATTGTATGGAACATACATGCAAGGTTATATCACTCTCCTCCACTGGGCTTTTTCTGTACCAAAGGCAAGGTCTAATCTAAATTCTTTATAGTCACAGTACTAGTGCCTCTCATGTTGTTAAAGTGATCTAGAACCATGCATTATTAGGTTGAGATCTTACCCTTTGAGCCAAAGAAGTCGACGTTTGCAAGGTTCGGCTGAGCTCCTTCGTGAGTACTGGTGACGAGAAGTCGCCAGTACCGTGCCGTTCCGGAGAAGCAGCCGAACTCCTGTGGCTTTTTGCTGCCCGGCTTCACCTTCGCCACCTCCAGGACGTCTCCCCAGTGGAACGGCTTGGTACAGGCGGACTTTTGTAGGATGAAGGACTTGATGTCATGGGTGGTGTCCCCACAGTTGACCAGGCGAAGGCGTGTGAGGGTGTAGCAGGACTTGAAGTCGAAGACGATGTACCACCTGTTGTAGTGGGTCTTGACGTCCACCGTAGGAGACCAGTATAACCCCGCGACGGGGTCCAGGACGTTTGCTGCCTCGCATTTCACGCCGTCCTTCTCCTCTGCTGTGCCGGAAGACTCGATAACCCATGGTGGTTCACGGCCGATCCAACATCCTGGAAATGAAATATTTCTCGTTGACCGATACTAGAGTTGCATATAGATTTTGCTGAGTCAATCAAATGGAAGAAATAGCTATAGACTAAATATAGACAGATGTCCTTCGTGACTGACACCAAGCGACTGATACCAAGCGCCTCTAGCTCTGCTTGACTGTCTTTAACAGTCAATTAGATATAGAAGTCCAAATACTACATGCGTTAATGGGCATAAATTCTCCTTCTAGCTCTGATTGGCGGATAGATTCCACCAATGAGATATAGGAGGTTAACACGTAATCCTTAGCATCCACTCCAGCTCAAGAAATTTTTTTAAAATAACTTAGTATTAGCACTTTAATGTCTTAGGGTGCTTGGAACTACGGCGCACTGATATGTTAACTTGGTGTATTTAAATGTTAATTGTATTTTGGTATGTGTCGCTGTTAATATAAGTTATAAACTTGAGTGCGGCGACACACTGTCCTTGCTATGTTTTGATGAATAAAAAAATGATAAAATAAATACCATCGTCACACACTATCTCCGCTCGCATGGCGATGTGCTCGTGCCAGGTGACCGGGTGAATCTTGACAAAGCGCGCGTAGAAAGTTCCGCTGTACTCTGCGAAGGAATGGACGACGGCGGAGTCTCGGTCCACGTTCCCTTCGAACACCTTTCGATAGAAAACACATTCGATTAGCGTGTGCACATACTTGTTCAGTTATAGTTCAGTTTTTTCCTCGGCAAGGTGGCACCTGTACTATTACAGGTTACTATTGCCACCCGATACATATCCAATTTCAGATAGTAAAGAACTTATTGGCATGCCAATAAGTCCTTTACTATGCTTGTGGAGGACGTCCTCTCGTACTCCAGGGGACGTTGATAACGCATACCTATCCTCTGGAGAGGATATTGGCTACAGCGCATAAAAATAGTTATAAGTTAAAGTATTTAAACAAGCTAATATTAAGTTTTTTTAGCAAATATGTTTTGCCTTGTTCCTTCAAAAGAAGAAATAAACTGTTAACGCTAGGAAATCTCTACCCGTCAATAGCTTATCAACCAGACAAGGCTATTATATATTAACAAAGCATAGAAGTACGTTAGACATGTAGATGAAAAGGGCGTTTTATATGATTAATCATTAAGTAGCACTAACCACCAACTGTCCGTTCTCGTCCTTGTATTCTGTCTCATCTCCGTTCTCTATGCCGTACGAGATGGTGTATGACGTCACCCACTGGGCGGTCTCTCCGTCAGGTCCGTTAGGGTTGGAGTTTCTGCCTTTAGTGATGATTTCGGTGGCAATCTTCTTGCTCCCAAGGTCGATGAGAAGGAACTGCTTCTCGTCGTTTGTCTTGGCGACCCAGGCTCCGGCCTCCGTCGCCGTTTCCACGCATTCCAGCTTGGAGTAGGACACGGCGTGGTGGGCACTCATCTCTGATGACGTCACGGTTGCCACGACGGTAACCATGGAAACGTTCACGGTGATTGACGTCGTGATGGCCTCCGTCTTGATCTGTGACACTTCAAGCTTTTTCTGCTCTGTAACATCAAGAAAATAAAGATTAGCCGCTGTCATATCATATCATGTCGTTTTGCATGCATATCTAAGGACAAAGCTGTTTTGTCTTCCTGTAAGCATTCATAAGAACATCGCTACTTAAAAGAGAGCCTTGTTTTAGTTCTCAGACAATGGTTTATCGCCTTACCATCCTCCACGATCATCTCAGCGCGCATGCAGATGTGGTCGTACCATGTGACAGGGTGGATCTTCACATAACGAGCTTTGAATGGTCCGTTAAAATCAGCAAAGGAGTGGGTGACTGGTGTGTCCGTGTCTTCGTTAGCCTTGAACACCTACGAATGCAAGCATGGGAGAATTATACAAATTTAAAGATATATTTTATAGTATTTCGTCAGTTTAATAAATTAAGGATTTACAGTTTGTGGGCTTACCAACAGTTCTCCTTTCTTGTCCTTGTACTCGTTTTCGTCTCCATTCTCCACTCCGTAGGACAGGGTGTATGACGTCACCCACTGGGTAGTCGGTCCGTCCGGCCAGTCTGGACTGGAGTTTCTGCCTTGTGTAACGATGCCGGTGACAAACTGCTCGCTATCCAAGTCGATGAGCAGAAACTGTTTGTCGTCGTTTGTAGCGGCACACCAGGCTCCGGCTACGTCTTTGGTCTCAACGACTCCAAACTTGGCCTGGCTGACGGTGTAGCGGGTATCTATCTCTGTAGAACTTGTTACAACAACTGTGATGCTGCTGCTAGCCATCACGGAGGTCTCTGTAACAGTTTCTACAATCGCTGCCATCCTTTCTTCCTTGACGGCCACTTCCATGGCCTGTTTCTTGATCTCTGTAAGAGGAGGTAAGTTGAAAAGATAAGTAGACAATTAGACCAGGATGTACAGTGTTTCATCGCGTTCTCCCAGATCATTATGTCATTGTTTATCAATCAAAACAAAAAGGAGTGACTTACCATCCTCGACGACCAGGTCAGCCCTCATGCAGATGTGGTCGTTCCACGTGACTGGGTGGATCTTCACGTAACGCGCCTTGAAAGACCCGTTGAACTTCAGGAGGTCATGAGTCACAGGGGTGTCTGTGTCCTTGTTACCAGGGAATACCTGAAAAAAGGATATTCAATGTGTGAGTAACATTTGTTGACATGTGAGGCTTAGATGCTATGTTATACTACGACGAGGTTCACTTGCAAGAATCAGAATCAGTCTATTCTGATACTGATAAAATAGGTAATAAAAACAACAGCTGATGCCATTTATAACTTCATAGAACTTGATGACGCAATTTATAAGCGTTGTTACTTACCTGAAGTTCTCCTGCTTTGTCCTTGTACTCGTTTTCGTCTCCATTTTCTACACCGTAGGTTAAGGTGTACGACGTGACCCAGTGGCTAGTCGGTCCGTCCGGCCAGTCTGGACTGGAGTTTCTGCCTTGTGTCACGATCCCGGTGACGAGCTTCTCCTGCTCCAAGTCGATAAGAAGGAATTGTTTGTCGTCGTTTGTAGCGGCACACCAGGCTCCGGCCTCGTCTTTGGTCTCCACGACGCCGAACTTGGCCTGGGTGACGGTGTAGCGGACGTCTATCTCGGTAGAGGTGGTGACAGAGACCGTGGTGGTACTACTTGCCATGACGGACGTTTCAGATATCGACTGTGCGATAACGGTCTTTTTTTCTTCTCTCTTAGCAACCTCCTTTACTTCCTTCTTTGCCGCTGTTAATAGAAAGGAATGGTCAAGACGGAGAATCATGGGATCATATCAGTGCATACACTCTCTGAAAAATTGAAATATTTCAACTTGAAATATAACCTTTTTCTTACCATCTTCAACAATCATGTCTGCTCTCATGCAGATGTGGTCATTCCACGTCACGGGGTGAATCTTGACAAACCGTGCGTTGAACGGCCCAACAAACTTGTCAAAACTCTGGGTCACCGGAGTGTCTCTATCGGTGTTGCCGGTGAAAACCTATCAAATGAAAGAAGACAGTCATGTTACATACATTTACAGATATTTTTCTCGATGAATAGATATAATATCTACCTATGAATGAATATGTAATAATATTTTTACTCACCAAAAGTTCTCCTTTGTCGTCCTTGTACTCGTTTTCGTCCCCATTTTCTACACCATAGGTTAAGGTGTATGACGTCACCCAGTGGCTTGTCGGTCCGTCCGGCCAGTCTGGACTGGAGTTTCTGCCTTGTGTCACGATCCCGGTGACGAGCTTCTCCTGCTCCAAATCGATAAGAAGGAACTGTTTGTCGTCGTTTGTAGCGGCACACCAGGCTCCGGCTTCGTCCTTGGTCTCCACGACGCCGAACTTGGCCTGGGTGACGGTGTAGCGGACGTCTATCTCGGTGGAAGTGGTGACAGAGACCGTTATGCTGCTGCTTGCCATGACGGATGTTTCGGTCACGCTCTCGGCGATAGCTGTCATCTTTTTGTCTTGTTGAACAACTTCCTTTACCTGTTTCTTTATTTCTACGAAAACAAGAGAAAATATATCACTTAGCCGACAGAAACACAATACAAAGCATTATAAAAGATTTGTATAGCTTATGTGATATACATGCAAAGGTTCAGTAGAAGACACATCTTTGCGATAATTATCCGCCCTACCGTCTTCCACAATCATGTCGGCTCTCATGCAGATATGGTCGTTCCAAGTCACGGGGTGTATCTTAACAAAGCGCGCGTTAAATGGTCCATTGAAGTCTGCAAGGTTGTGAGTAACAGGAGTATCTCTATCTTTGTTGCCGTCGAAGACCTAACAGAGAAGAAATTACACTATTAGTATTTTGTTACTAATTTCTTGGGACCATAAATCATATGCCAATTATACTATATTGAATATATAAAACCTTTGGATAACTATTATTGCATTGACCACTAGTAAATATATACCGTGACTTACCAGAAGCTGGCCGTCAGCGTCTTTGTACTCGTTTTCGTCCCCATTTTCTACACCGTAGGTTAAGGTGTATGTCGTCACCCAGTGGCTAGTCGGACCGTCCGGCCAGTCTGGACTGGAGTTTCTGCCTTGTGTCACGATCCCGGTGACGAGCTTCTCCTGCTCCAAGTCGATAAGAAGGAACTGTTTGTCGTCGTTTGTAGCGGCACACCAGGCTCCGGCTTCGTCTTTGGTCTCCACGACGCCGAACTTGGCCTGGGTGACGGTGTAGCGGACGTCCTTTTCTGTCGAGGTGGTGACGACGACAGAAATACTGCTGCTGGCGACGACCGATGTTTCCGTCACGCTTTCAGCAATAACCGTCATCTGCTCTTCCTTCTTGGCCACTGCTTTCATTTCCTTTTTCACCTCTGTTCAAATAAAGAAGAAAGAAACATTAATGTTGGCTGACAGGACAGGGAGCTTCATATTTGTTATCAAATATGGATGCAAAACACCTAAATGCATCTAGTTTTAGTTTTTCTAGTCTAACTTAATGCTGAAACTTTTGTTAGTCCGAGTCAGTTTGTGAAAAGATAAAAAGACCTACCGTCCTCGACAATCATGTCGGCCCTCATGCAGATATGGTCGTTCCACGTGACTGGGTGTATCTTGACGTAGCGTGCCTTGAACGGTCCGCTGAATTTCGCAAAGTTGTGGGTGACTGGCGAATCCGTATCTTCGTTGCCCTTGAAAACCTATAAAACATTGAGGATATGTGTTGTTAGTAACCCCCTCTCTGAGTTGCCTGACATAGTGCAAAGCTGGAGTTCAAATAGACTATCTTCGACGGATCATCATATTTTCAAGTTACAAAAAATAACATGAATGGAATATTTACTTCCGACACCCTTCTTTTTCCATGCTCATTATAAGCCAGTGTATACCAATCGCTAAATATAAAGCTTACTTTCAGTTCTCCCTTCTTGTCCTTGTACTCGTTTTCGTCCCCATTTTCTACACCGTAGGTTAAAGTGTATGACGTGACCCAGTGGCTTGTCGGCCCGTCCGGCCAGTCTGGACTGGAGTTTCTGCCTTGTGTCACGATCCCGGTGACGAGCTTCTCCTGCTCCAAGTCGATAAGAAGGAACTGTTTGTCGTCGTTTGTAGCGGCACACCAGGCTCCGGCTTCGTCTTTGGTCTCCACGACGCCGAACTTGGCCTGGGTGACGGTGTAGCGGACGTCCTTTTCAGTTGAAGTGGTTACTATGACTGTGGATGTGGTACTCGCAATGACGGACGTCTCGGTGACACTTTCTGCGACGACTGTCATCTGCTCTTCCTTTTTGGCCACCTCTTTCAGTTGCTTTTTGACCTCTTTATGGAATAGGTGAAAAAAAAACGAGTCAGACCACCATGCAAATGCTCATTTCTTGTGTACTAAAAGATTCTGGACAATTTCGCATGTGCCTATCAATTGCTAGGATACTTGTCATAGAAAACTAATAGAAGAGGAAACTCACCATCTTCAACGATCATGTCCGCTCGCATGCAGATATGCTCGTTCCATGTAACGGGGTGAATCTTGACAAAACGTGCTTTAAAAGGGCCGCTGAACTCCGCAAAGTTGTGGGTCACTGGACTGTCGGTGTCTTTGTTCCCCTTGAACACCTATTTATCAGTAAAAAAAACATTAATCAATGCATTATTATATTACCAAGATAACTGGGCTGCCTTTTCTCGGAATAGTTTCTCTACAATGTGAGTATAACAAATGATTGCAGAGTATGACTTTATGCTGTTATTTACCTTCAATTCTCCTTTCTTGTCCTTGTACTCGTTCTCGTCCCCATTTTCTACACCGTAGGACAGCGTGTACGACGTGACCCAGTGGCTAGTCGGTCCGTCCGGCCAGTCTGGACTGGAGTTTCTGCCTTGTGTCACGATCCCGGTGACGAGCTTCTCCTGCTCCAAGTCGATAAGAAGGAACTGTTTGTCGTCGTTTGTAGCGGCACACCAGGCCCCGGCTTCGTCTTTGGTCTCCACGACGCCGAACTTGGCCTGGGTGACGGTGTAGCGGACGTCCTTTTCTGTCGAAGTGGTGACGACGACAGAAATACTGCTGCTGGCGACGACAGATGTTTCCGTCACGCTTTCGGCAATAACTGTCATCTGCTCTTCCTTCTTTGCGATCTCCTTTACCTCCTTCTTCTTTTCTATATTTCCAACAACCAAAGTTTAAAAGTCAATTACAAAGCCAATGTTATTTCACCGATTGCTTCTGTCAACGGTAAGATAATATTTGATAAACAGGCTAGGCGTATATAGGCGATATTCTGTTGATTGAAAAGGCAAAAGCGTGGCCTTACCATCTTCAACGACCATGTCTGCTCGCATACAGATGTGATCATTCCATGTGACCGGATGGATCTTGACGTATCGAGCTTTGAACGGTCCGTTGAACTGAGCGAAGTTGTTTGTTACTGGAGTGTCTGTATCAGTGTTGCCTTTGAAGACCTATAAAACAGGAAAATAAGCAAACGTTTAGCTAAACGTTCGATAACATCTGAAGAGCATATTGGAACAAGAACTGGCACATTTGATATGATGACATACCTTTAGTTCTCCTTTCTTGTCCATGTATTTTGTCTCGTCTCCGTTTTCCACCCCATACGATAGTGTGAATGACGTGACCCAGTGGCTTGTGGGTCCGTCCGGCCAGTCTGGACTGGAGTTTCTGCCTTGTGTCACGATCCCGGTGACGAGCTTCTCCTGCTCCAAGTCGATAAGAAGGAACTGTTTGTCGTCGTTTGTAGCGGCGCACCAGGCTCCGGCTTCGTCTTTGGTCTCCACGACGCCGAACTTGGCCTGGGTGACGGTGTAGCGGACGTCCAACTCGGTTGAGGTGGTGACAGACACAGTGATGCTTGAGCTTGCCATGACAGACGTCTCTGTCACGGTTTCAGCAATAGCTGTCATTGTTTCCACCCTCTTTGCAACCTCCTTAACTTCTTTCTTCTTTGCTGTAAACATACAATGTATGTTAATTACTCAGACGATCTTGTTAAAATTCAGGGACAAAGCCGTCATGCAATGGACAAGTTGATTCTCACTGAGTGACTACGATTAAAGCTCATGAATACGGAAGTTTTCCTTTATTCTTACCGTCCTCAACAATCATGTCAGCTCGCATACAGATGTGGTCATTCCACGTCACGGGATGAATCTTCACAAAACGAGCGTTGAAATGCCCATTGTACTTTGCAAAGTTGTGGGTTACGGGGGTGTCCCTGTCTTTGTTGCCTTTGAAGACCTACAAGATAAACACAGTTAAGTTTAAAGGGCCATTAGAACATTGATGGAAGATACAAAGAGTGGTGTAATTATTATGCCTCTACCATGTACGACAGTATTCCTTACCAGAAGTTCTCCCTTGGCGTCCTTGTACTCGTTTTCGTCTCCATTTCCTACACCGTAGGTTAAGGTGTACGACGTGACCCAGTGGCTTGTCGGTCCGTCCGGCCAGTCTGGACTGGAGTTTCTGCCTTGTGTCACGATCCCGGTGACGAGCTTCTCCTGCTCCAAGTCGATAAGAAGGAACTGTTTGTCGTCGTTTGTAGCGGCACACCAGGCTCCGGCTTCGTCTTTGGTCTCCACGACGCCGAACTTGGCCTGGGTGACGGTGTAGCGGACGTCTATCTCCGTGGAGGTGGTGACAGACACAGTGACACTGCTGCTTGCAATGACGGACGTTTCCGTGACGGATTCAGCAATGACTGTCATCTGCTCTTCTTTCTTGGCCACTTTCTTCATTTCCTTCTTTACCGCTTTTTGTAAAAACGATTAGAAACATGTTAACACTTTCTTTGAATCCAATTTCTCCATTTCAAAAAATAGAACATTTTATACAGTTCAATCTTTACTATCGTTAGACAGATGATAATTTTAAAAAGAGATCTTGACTTACGATCTTCAACGATCATGTCTGCCCTCATGCATATATGTTCGTTCCATGTGACAGGATGTATCTTGATGAAGCGTGCGTTGAAAGGGCCGTTGAACTGCGCGAAGTTGTGGGTCACCGGGCTGTCTGTATCATTGTTACCCTTGAAGACCTGTTTTACAGCAAAGATGTTTTAGAGAATTTCTTGTGTGTCAAAATAAATCTTGTCATACTACATGTATCAACACTAGGTTGGTGTGAGAAGTTGAACCAAGTAAAAAGACACTTAAAGACAATGTGCTATCTTACTTTTAGCTCTCCTTTTGCATCCTTGTACTCGTTTTCGTCTCCATTTTCTACACCGTATGTTAAGGTGTACGACGTGACCCAGTGGCTTGTGGGTCCGTCCGGCCAGTCTGGACTGGAGTTTCTGCCTTGTGTCACGATCCCGGTGACGAGCTTCTCCTGCTCCAAGTCGATAAGAAGGAACTGTTTGTCGTCGTTTGTAGCTGCACACCAGGCTCCGGCTTCGTCTTTGGTCTCCACGACGCCGAACTTGGCTTGAGTGACGGTGTAGCGGACGTCCTTTTCTGTCGAAGTGGTCACTGAAACCGCGACGACACTACTGGCAATGACCGAAGTTTCGGTGACGCTTTCCGCAATAACTATCATCTGCTCTTCCTTCTTAGCGATCTCCTTTACTTCCTTTTTGACCTCTGTAACAAACAGAAATCAAGGACAGATTCAGAGTTAGTCTGATCCTATATGCCATAGCATGGTTTCTATGGCATAATTTATCATTACAACTTGAAATACAAGAAAAAGAATTTGCAAGAGGCAATTACTGTGAAAAATGGAGAAAGGCTGATCGAAATGCAAAAACATGTTGAATTTGATGTAGTTTGAGAGCATGCATTATCTATGAAAGGAAGAACTTAACTATTTTACCATCCTCTACTATCATGTCCGCCCTCATGCAGATGTGGTCGTTCCAAGTGACGGGGTGGATCTTCACGTAGCGCGCTTTGAAGGGTCCACTGAACTTTGCAAAGTTGTGCGTCACCGGAGTATCCCTGTCTTTGTTGCCCTGGAATGTCTAATAGCAAAACAAAACACTGTCATTTTAACTCAAAGTCACGAATATTGTGGCATAACTTATCACCGGATCTTCAAATCTACTGTTCTAAGAACAAATGGTTTATATAACAGTATCACGCAGCGTTCGATACATTAACTGACAATATTGCATACTCGTCAGTAATTTGCTTTAGAATGTGTTTCTAAAAACATGGAAGAACAAAGGCAGCTATAGAATTTAGCCATCTTATTGTAAATATTTTCTATGTTCTTACTTTCAATTCTCCGTTGGCGTCCTTGTACTCGTTCTCGTCGCCATTCTCCACTCCATAGGACAGTGTGTATGACGTCACCCAGTGGCTAGTCGGTCCGTCCGGCCAGTCTGGACTGGAGTTTCTGCCTTGTGTAACGATCCCGGTGACGAGCTTCTCCTGCTCCAAGTCGATAAGAAGGAACTGTTTGTCGTCGTTTGTAGCGGCACACCAGGCTCCGGCTTCGTCTTTGGTCTCCACGACGCCAAACTTGGCCTGGGTGACGGTGTAGCGGACGTCTATCTCCGTGGAGGTGGTGACAGAGACCGTTGTGCTTGAGCTGGACATAGACATGGACATAGTGGACGTTTCCGTGACACTTTCGGCAATGACGGTCATCTGCTCTTCTTTCTTTGCTACTTCCTTTACTGCTTTCTTTGCCTCTGTAAACAAACACAACATATACAATTTAACACGTACTAATGCCAAGAATTTGTCAAAAAATGTCGACCTAAGATGGTGTTCAACATATGCAAACAGGTGTGCGTATTTGAATAAAAAACCAATAGTTTTGTCCGTATATTTAACTTCAGGTTCTAGGAAGGATGTCATTAAAGTAATTACCATCTACATGTATCAATACATGCTTTATATCGAATGTTTTCTCCATAATATTGACTTAAGGTGCTATCTTACCGTCCTCCACAATCATGTCAGCCCTCATGCAGATGTGATCGTTCCACGTGACGGGGTGTATCTTGACGTAGCGTGCCTTAAACGGTCCATTGAATTCTGCAAAGTTGTGGGTGACGGGACTGTCTGTGTCCTTGTTGCCCTTGAAAACCTATAAGGTGGCAATTAATGAATAAATCAACTTTTTAATTATCAGAACATTTAATACCGTGTACACATTTGGACATCTTAGAGTCTTTCTTCTTCAAAAAACTGCCCTCGGGTAAGTAGTTTAATCAATATATTGATTTGTTTTAACTCACTTTAAGAGCTCCTGCCTTGTCCTTGTACTCGTTTTCGTCTCCATTCTCTACACCGTATGTTAAGGTGTACGACGTGACCCAGTGGCTTGTCGGTCCGTCCGGCCAGTCTGGACTGGAGTTTCTGCCTTGTGTCACGATCCCGGTGACGAGCTTCTCCTGCTCCAAGTCGATAAGAAGGAACTGTTTGTCGTCGTTTGTAGCGGCACACCAGGCTCCGGCTTCGTCTTTGGTCTCCACGACGCCGAACTTGGCCTGGGTGACGGTGTAGCGAACGTCTATCTCCGTGGAACTCGTTACTGAGACTGTGATGCTGCTGCTTGCCATAACAGAAGTTTCGGTCACGCTTTCAGCGATGACGGTCTTCTCCTCCTCCTTCTTTGCAACTGCCTTTAATTCCTTCTTTACCTCTGAAGTAAGGAGTAAGAACAGTAACATAATGCTTGTATGGATCATTCATTCCAGATTGGATCGTCAAGTACATGTAACTTGTAAGAAAAACTCAACAATGTCTATCAGTAAAATGTTCTTACCGTCTTCGACGATGAGGTCGGCCCTCATGCAGATATGATCATTCCATGTCATAGGGTGGATCTTGACATATCTTGCTTTGAATGGGCCGTTGAATTCCGCAAAGTTGTTGGTATTAGGTGTGTCTGTGTCCTTGTTGCCTTTGAAAATCTGTCAACGGAGACATACAATACAATTGTTTCGTATACTACAGTCATTGTATTTTTCCAACATTTTACTATTGTCTTCAAATGCGAAAAAGACAGGTGATTTTTTTTACTATAGACAAAGAGCTGCAGCTAGCTTTCTATCATCGCTGACAAGAAGTGAAACACGGCATGCGCAGTTCGGAGATTGAAAGATCAGCCGTGGAACTCACTTTCAGAGCTCCTGCCTTGTCCTTGTACTCGTTTTCATCTCCATTCTCCACTCCGTAGGACAGGGTGTATGACGTCACCCAGTGACTAGTCGGTCCGTCCGGCCAGTCTGGACTGGAGTTTCTGCCTTGTGTCACGATCCCGGTGACGAGCTTCTCCTGCTCCAAGTCGATAAGAAGGAACTGTTTGTCGTCGTTTGTAGCGGCACACCAGGCTCCGGCTTCGTCTTTGGTCTCCACGACGCCGAACTTGGCCTGGGTGACGGTGTAGCGGACGTCTATCTCCGTGGAGGTGGTGACAGAGACCGTTGTGCTTGTGCTCGCCATGACTGAACTCTCTGTCACGGTCTCGGCAATGACGGTCATTTGTTCCTCTTTCTTTGCTACCTCCTTTATCTGTTTTTTCACCTCTAAAAGACACAAAATGTTGGAAATGAATGTACGAATTATAATATGCTGTGTGGCATGTATTCTCTCAAACATTCCTTCCTAGCTATAGTATGGAATCACATACATAACCACCACTGTAATAAAATGGGTGTTTAGAAGCAGTACTTAATCTTGGCACAAAACTGCACAAGCAAAGTCGTTAGATAGGTGGAACGTTTTGCAACCCGAATGGCGTTCTTCAACTAGCTGCGACCTATGCCTGGATGCCTTATAGGTACAGTAAGCACAATAACAAGCTTTTCACCAACAAAATAGAATTCGAAGAGATAGTTTAAGGACATACCGTCTTCAACGACGAGCTCAGCTCTCATGCAGATGTGGTCATTCCAGGTAACAGGATGAATCTTCACATAACGTGCTGTGAAATGCCCGTTAAAAGTCGCAAAGTTGTGGGTAACCGGAGTATCCCTGTCCTTGTTTCCCTTGAATACCTGGAAGAAGAAAAAAAGGAAATAAGATAAAAATTCTATTATACATGGTTTGAGATATGAAATCATAATTTTAAAGTGCATGCATTGCAACAAACACTTAATAACCAAAAAAAATGTTGTCATGTATGATGCTATGAGCTAGAAAATCCTACCAGAAGCTCTCCTTTCTTGTCCTTGTACTCGTTTTCGTCCCCATTTTCTACACCGTAGGTTAAGGTGTACGACGTGACCCAGTGGCTAGTCGGTCCGTCCGGCCAGTCTGGACTGGAGTTTCTGCCTTGTGTCACGATCCCGGTGACGAGCTTTTCCTGCTCCAAGTCGATAAGAAGGAACTGTTTGTCGTCGTTTGTAGCGGCGCACCAGGCTCCGGCTTCGTCTTTGGTCTCCACGACGCCGAACTTGGCCTGGGTGACGGTGTAGCGGACGTCTATCTCCGTGGAGGTGGTGACAGAAACCATGGTGATGCTGCTTGCGATCACCGATGTTTCCGTGACGCTCTCGGCGATTGTCACCATCGTCTCTTCTTTCTTGGCGATTTCTTTAAGGTCTTTCTTCGCCTCTGTTTGAAAAGAACAAAGTTGTTGTATACAAACAGATAATTATTAGTGTGATGGAGTAAGAATATGACTAGGTATATGTGTGTTTAAAACTGAATCTATCACATGATACAATAAGGAATGTAGTCCCCAAGTAGGGGCACTTGCAATGGAAGTAAATACACAGAGTGCTGTGTGACAAATGAGCCAAACGACAAATACCCTATGTGGTACCGGTCAAACATAAAAATGACATTGTAGCAAACAATAGAACAATAAACAAGGCTCACCGTCTTCCACTATGACATCCGCTCTCATGCAGATGTGGTCGTTCCACGTGACCGGGTGGATTTTCACATAGCGAGCCGTGAAATTCCCGTTGAATTGTGCAAGATTATGGATAACGGGGGTGTCTGTATCCACGTTGCCCTTGAATACCTGTTAAATGAATCACATTATTTACTTCAGGACGTGAAATCTGTGTTGAGGAATTAGGAATATTGCATCACTAAATTAGATAAAAGATAGGTTAGAAATGATATACATGTATGGTATTAACATACCTTAAGAGCCCCTGTCTTGTCCTTGTACTCATTCTCGTCTCCATTCTCTACACCATACGACAGGGTGTATGACGTCACCCACTGGGTAGTCGGTCCGTCCGGCCAGTCTGGACTGGAGTTTCTGCCTTGTGTCACGATCCCGGTGACGAGCTTCTCCTGCTCCAAGTCAATAAGAAGGAACTGTTTGTCGTCGTTTGTAGCGGCACACCAGGCTCCGGCTTCGTCTTTGGTCTCCACGACGCCGAACTTGGCCTGGGTGACGGTGTAGCGGACGTCTATCTCCGTGGAAGTCGTGATGACCTCTGTGATGCTGCTACTTGCCATGACAGACGTTTCGGTGACCGTCTCCGCGATTGTCGTCATTGTCGCTTCTTTCTTCACTATTTCTTTTGCTGCCTTTTTCGCCGCTTTAATTAGAATAATACAAATTTAGAGATAAACACACGTTGATAACATATATCAGAGTAACATTTACCGCTACTTTGGCCACCCCTCTATTTATTATAAAAAAATACAGAGACTATAACTAGTAAAATGCAATCGATATTCTTACGCTTGATTTATAGTTAGTCACCAATGTCTTACGCATCATCATTAGCAGAACGAAAGTTGCAGAAACTTCAGGTAAATACAAGGACGGGTACTTATATAAGAAATGAAACAAGATAACAAAGCTAATTATAAAACTTACGTCAACTAGAAAGGAAAGTAAATGTAGGCTTACCGTCCTCTACAATCATGTCCGCCCTCATGCAGATATGGTCGTTCCATGTGACCGGATGTATCTTGACGAAGCGAGCGTTGAATGGCCCGCTGAACTCCGCAAAGCTATGGGTAACAGGTGTATCTGTATCTTTGTTACCTTTAAAGATCTGCAAAAGAATCATGCTTCGTTAGAATTACATAGAACTGTACACAACTTAAAGTGCCACTAAGTTAATTTGGAAATGGTTATTATTCCGCATAAGACATACCTTAAGTTCTCCCTTCTTGTCCATGTATTTGTTCTCGTCTCCATTCTCCAGTCCGTAGGAGAGTGTGTACGACGTCACCCAGTGACTAGTCGGTCCGTCCGGCCAGTCTGGACTGGAGTTTCTGCCTTGTGTAACGATCCCGGTGACGAGCTTCTCCTGCTCCAAGTCGATAAGAAGGAACTGTTTGTCGTCGTTTGTAGCGGCACACCAGGCTCCGGCTTCGTCTTTGGTCTCCACGACGCCGAACTTGGCCTGGGTGACGGTGTAGCGGACGTCTATCTCCGTGGAAGTCGTGACAGAAACCATGGTGATGCTGCTTGCCATGACAGAAGTTTCCGTGACGCTTTCGGCGATGACAACCTTCTCTTCTTCCTTCTTTGCTATCTCTTTGACTTCCTTCTTTGCCTCTGTTGTTTAGGTAGGGAGGAAAATAAATGCAACATTATCAAAATGGCACCATCCTAGTATATTTCTCTCAGCAACGAAGAATCGTTTTAGTAAAACGGTTTAAACGTATCCGTAATAATTTCATCCTACCATCTTCGACGATGAGGTCAGCCCTCATGCAGATATGGTCGTTCCACGTGACTGGATGAATCTTCACGTAGCGAGCCTTGAACGGTCCGTTGAACTGTTGGAACGGGTGGGTTACTGGGGTGTCTGTGTCCTTGTTGCCCTTGAAAACCTGTAAGAAGACGTTGAGGCGTTGAGAAAAGTTGGCCGCTAAATCATATACCCTTGCAATAATCATTTTCTTCCTTAGAAGAAATTAATGTGCGAGTGCTCACCAAGAGGTCTCCTTTCTTGTCCTTGTACTCGTTTTCGTCTCCATTCTCTACACCGTAGGTTAAGGTGTATGACGTCACCCAGTGGCTTGTCGGTCCGTCCGGCCAGTCTGGACTGGAGTTTCTGCCTTGTGTGACGATCCCGGTGACGAGCTTCTCCTGCTCCAAGTCTATGAGAAGAAACTGTTTGTCGTCGTTTGTAGCGGCACACCAGGCTCCGGCTTCATCTTTGGTCTCCACGACGCCGAACTTGGCCTGGGTGACGGTGTAGCGGACGTCTATCTCCGTGGAGGTGGTCACGGAGACACTGATGCTGGAAGTTGCCATAATGGATGTTTCTGTCACACTTTCCGCGATGACTGTCATAGTTTCCTCCTTCTTCGCTACTTCCTTTATCGCCTTTTTAGCCTCTGTATTGCAGAAAGACAAAAAGGATCATCGACATGTTACTGAATACACCTTTTCTTGATGGATTGCAAAACAGAACTGCTGTTTTTAAAATCATTGTTAACTACATGTAGCTACAAAATAAAGGAGAGTCCTACCATCTTCGACGATCATGTCAGCCCTCATGCAGATGTGATCATTCCATGTAACTGGATGGATCTTGACAAATCGTGCTTTGAAGGGGCCGTTGAAAGTTGCAAATGAATGGGTCACTGGGCTGTCTGTATCTTTGTTGCCTTTGAAGACCTATCAAAGAAAAGTAAAAATACACAATGTTTTCCTCATTGTCAGTTTGACAAATGTCAGTGACGAATGCCTTACTAGACTTAATATAGAAATTTCCACTCACCAGAAGTTCTCCTTTCTTGTCCTTGTACTCGTTTTCGTCTCCATTCTCTACACCGTAGGTTAAGGTGTACGACGTCACCCAGTGGCTAGTCGGTCCGTCCGGCCAGTCTGGACTGGAGTTTCTGCCTTGCGTAACGATCCCGGTGACGAGCTTCTCCTGCTCCAAGTCGATAAGAAGGAACTGTTTGTCGTCGTTTGTAGCGGCACACCAGGCCCCGGCTTCGTCTTTGGTCTCCACGACGCCGAACTTGGCCTGGGTGACGGTGTAGCGGACGTCCAGCTCCGTGGAAGTAGTAACAACAACCGAAATACTGCTACTTGCTATGACCGACGTTTCTGTGACGGTCTCAGCGATTGCTGTCATTGTTTCCTCCTTTTTGGCCAGCTCCTTTATTTCCTTCTTTGCCTCTGTAATCGAAACATCAGTAAAGTATATGAGCTGTGCTGGTAATACATGTTACATTCAGGATTAATTTCAAGATGTCAAGATTGACTTTCTGGTGGATAAAATAAGCACATGGTAAACGTCTTCTTTAGGAGTGAAATGACGTTGTATTTACCATCCTCGACTATCACGTCTGCCCTCATGCAAATGTGGCCATTCCAGCTGACGGGGTGAATCTTGACGAAGCGAGCTTTAAAATGCCCGTCGAACTGTTTCAGGGGATGGGTAACAGGCGTGTCTGTGTCCGAGTTGCCTTTGAAAACCTGCACAACATAAATAATCATCATTAATACCTAGTAACTTGCCCGGTTTGAAACAAGCTAGTTCAAGTATCTTAAGACAATTTAAAGAAGTTTTTCTGATGAACCGGTACCTTGTGCATAAACTGTATGTCACATGGTTCTTATAAACATAAATATTGACCCACCAGAAGTTCTCCTTTCTTGTCCTTGTACTCGCTTTCGTCTCCATTTTCTACACCGTAGGTTAAGGTGTATGACGTTACCCAGTGGCTAGTCGGTCCGTCCGGCCAGTCTGGACTGGAGTTTCTGCCTTGTGTAACGATCCCGGTGACGAGCTTCTCCTGCTCCAAGTCGATAAGAAGGAACTGTTTGTCGTCGTTTGTAGCGGCACACCAGGCTCCGGCTTCGTCTTTGGTCTCCACGACGCCGAACTTGGCCTGGGTGACGGTGTAGCGGACGTCTATCTCCGTGGAGGTGGTGACGACCACTGAGATGCTGCTGCTCGCCATCACTGATGTCTCTGTCACGGTTTCTGCAATGACTGTCTTCTCCTCTTCTTTCTTAACCAGTATCTTTGACTCTGAAAGCAAGGAGGTTCTACATTCAATTGATGACTGCAATAATATTCATGCATATACACACTCACTTCTAACGTCACTTCTTTGTTAAAAATTTGTTAAAAATTTAAAATTCAGTTCAAACTTGTTTCATAAAACACACTTCTCTTTTCTAGGACTCATTTTGCTATAGACATTGGCAATCGATGCTTACCGTCTTCAATAATGATGTCCGCCCTCATTGCGATATGTTCGTGCCAGGTCAGAATGTGGATCTTGATGTACCTCGCTGTGAACGTGCCGCTGTACGTTTTCAATGAGTGGCTCACAGGAGTGTCGGTGTCGACGTTTGCCTTGAATATCTAGGAAAGCAGAAGAGATGTTCGCCTTGGCATAATGCAAGTGTTTCACAAACGTAATCAATTGTAATTGATAACAAACTAACAATCTACTCCAGGTATTAGGTCACTCATAACTGTAACACTTCGCGTGTAGGCTATCTAGACATCAGTTAAGACTCACCACAGCCTCTCCCTTAGAATTCTTGTACTCCGTCTCGTCTCCATTCTCCAGACCGTAGGAGATCTTGTACGATGTTACCCACTGCTGTGTGGGTCCGTCCGGCCAGTCTGGACTGGAGTTCCTCCCCTGTGTCACGATCCCGGTGACCAGCTGGGCTGACTCCAGGTCGATGAGAAGGAACTGTTTGTCGTCGTCTGTAGCTGCAACCCAGGCCCCCGCCTCAGTCGCCGTCTCTAAGCATGAGAACTTGGCCCGGGTGATGCTGGTCTTCTCGCTGAGCTCGGTTGAGCTGGTCATCACTACAGTGGTGGTACTGCTGGCAAACACGGAAGTCACAGAGATTGATTCTGCGATGACGGTCTTCTTTGTTTCCACTTCCATTACCTGAACCTCCAGCTTCTTCGTTTCTGCAAAGACAATTTATTACATAGTGTTAAGAACCACCCTGTATGTTACATATTACAAAAAGTAAAAAGAAGACCAGCTAATCAATATATGATATTACTGGAAGCAATACTCATCATATTTTATATAGAATTGCTTTCTTGTGGCAACTATTCAATGAATATCTTTAGATTACAAGACTTTAGGATAATGAATGCATTACGATTACGATATCGCACACATTTATATAGCATGTGCAAAATATAATCTCGTACCATCTTCTATAATCACGTCAGCCCTCATTGCGATGTGCTCGTGCCAGGTGAGCACATGGATCTTGATGTACCGAGCCGTGAAGGTGCCGTTGTACGTCTTTAAGGAGTGTGTCACAGGTGTGTCCGTGTCCACGTTGCCTTTGAACACCTGTGTATTTAAAGAAAGTCACTGGCCCTGTCATAAACTAAGTACCATTGCCTTTGTTGCCTTTGCACGCTTGCCTAAACACGCTATCAAGAAGTCTTAGAGATGGACATAAACATTCTAACTCCTATCCTCTTTCAACACTTTATAGTCGTGACGGTATTTGGAAGCGTCCATGTCATTGCAAGGAATAATTCTGGTTCTGATTATTGAAAGTTTCTATGGTCTAGGAAATCTTTGCATTTTCATCATTTGACCTATGACAGTCACCATTGTGCATCATAAAATGCGATCAGTGATGCTCAGCTGCTCCCCACTCCTCTTGGAATTTTGGATGTTATTTGTAGGTATAAGGTATGCAACTGTTGGGTCGTTTTTGGTCTGTTTGCTCTGTACATGTTTCAGTTACCCTAATATACAGAAATTGGCAATATCGAAGAACGGAAATAGAAGCAATTACCAGAAGTTCTCCCTTTGCGTCCTTGTACTCTGTCTCGTCTCCATTCTCCAGTCCGTACGACAGGGTGTACGACGTTACCCACTGCTGTGTAGGTCCGTCCGGCCAGTCTGGACTGGAGTTCCTCCCCTGTGTGACGATCCCGGTGACCAGCTGGGCTGACTCCAGGTCGATGATAAGGAACTGTTTGTCGTCGTCCACTTTAGCACACCAGGCTCCCGCCTCAGTCGCCGTCTCTACACATGAGAACTTGGCCCGAGTGACGGAGGTCTGGACGCTAAGTTCCGTAGACGTTGTCATGACGACCGTGATGGTGCTGCTGGCAAAGGAGGAGTACTTGGAAACTGATTCTGCGATGGTTGTCATCTTCGCTTCGACTTCGGCCTTCTCAACCTCCTGTTTCTTCGTTTCTGTAAGAATTATATACATCGTTTCACAAAACCATTTTGCATGTACATGTATGTGTGTGTACCTGTTTGTTAGAACGTAAGATTTTGATAGCACGTGAATGGGGGAAAGATTGACAGGCTGAATGACTGGAGGTGAAAGGTCTCAGAATTTAGCCGGGAGCCCTGAGCAGGAATTAAAGGTCGACATGGGAAATTCAGGACACCGAGTGCATAATTTTGCGGTCTGAAATCTCTTATTTCGTGTTCCACCCACGCACATAGAAGTCCGGTACCTAGAAGGCAAATGTCATGGCTTAATTGTGGTTGTTATAGTAGTTAAAAGTGCCGCTGACTTCTGATATGCATTGCATTATTGTTACACCAGAAACTCAACATCAACGTTCAATGTAGATAGCATATTCGCAGTAAGTAAGCAGTCTTACCGCCCTCTATGATGATTTCTGCCCGCATGGCGATGTGCTCGTGCCAGCTGACCATGTGGATCTTGATGAACCGCGCAGTGAAGGTGCCGTTGTAGGTCTTTAAGGCATGACTCACTGGCGTGTCGGTGTCGGCATTTCCCTTGAAGATCTGATAAAACAAAGAAGTCAGAGATAGGTGTTTAACATAATATATCAAGAAGCATATCGACATCTTTTTTACTTCAACGTACAAACAATGCAAACAATATCGGCCAACCAAAGCATTTAAGCTGGTTTGATACGCCGAAGGGCTGTTATACCGGCTATACTGATACAGATACCAGGGGGAAGATGTAGGAATCTCAAAGTGACGAAATGTTACTCAGATGAGGTAGGTCCACTTACCAAAGCTTCTCCATTGGCCTTCTTGTACTCCGTCTCGTCTCCATTTTCCAGACCGTAGGAGATTTTGTACGACGTTACCCACTGCTGTGTAGGTCCGTCCGGCCAGTCTGGACTGGAGTTCCTCCCCTGTGTGACAATCCCGGTGACCAGCTGGGCTGACTCCAGGTCGATGAGAAGGAACTGTTTGTCGTCGTTCACTTTAGCACACCAGGCTCCCGCCTCAGTCGCCGTCTCTACGCATGAGAACTTGGCCCGAGTGATGCTGGTCTTCTCGCTGAGCTCGGTTGAGCTGGTCATCACTACAGTGGTGGTACTGCTCGCGAAAACGGAGAATTTAGAAATGGTTTCTGTGATTGCTGTCATCCTTGCCTCCACTGCAGCCTTCTCCAATTCCATCTTTTTCTCTGTGTAAAAAAAAGGAAAGCATGGTTGATGAGACATTTTTTTAAGATAAGTCATCACTTTTTTTATAAGTCGTCATTTTATATTACCTTACCACTGCATTATGAATGGTGCCTGCTAGCTTGTATATATTGATGCCGGATTTCGTATCTTCATGAGTAAAATTTTCTGCACAGACACTACATTTGTCGATTCTTACCGTCCTGTATGATGATGCCAGCCCGCATGGCGATGTGCTCGTGCCAGGTGACCACCCGGATCTTGATGAAACGCGCCGTGAAGCTGCCGTTAAACTTCTCGAAGGCGTAACTCACAGGAGTGTCCGTGTCGGTGTTCCCCTCGAAAACCTGTTACGTGGGATAAAGACAACAGTCACTGTTGTAAGTTCTTACTGCTAGATTGTAATGAACTGGTCGCACACTTGACTTTTGTGGAGCTTTGTACTAGTACCTTATTGTGTTGCCTCCAGGACTCCTAGCACCAGAGTGCGGTTATTGGGTCGGACTGTTTTACTTCTAAGATATTGGGGTTTGTAACAGGACTGTTCTACATCTAAGGAAGGGGGAATTTTATGTGATAGTGGACTAGTTGGTTCACTGTGGGTTCACAGCAGTCACCATGCATGGCACTTCTCTTAGTGATGTAGAGATGGTCTCCGTGTTTCAATGCTATTAATGAAAACTGTATTTGATCTTTATTCAATCTAATAGAAGCCTATCCTACAGAGTTATTGTCGGTAACATCACCACACGGCACACCAAGTCCTCACATAACAAACTGTATCTCATAGCAATTTTGTTTACTACATTTGAAAGTAAACCGAGTGCCACATACCACTAGCTCTCCCTTTGCGTCCTTGTACTCTGTCTCGTCTCCACTCTCCAGTCCATACGACAGGGTGTACGACGTTACCCACTGCTGTGTAGGTCCGTCCGGCCAGTCTGGACTGGAGTTCCTCCCCTGTGTGACGATCCCGGTGACCAGCTGAGCTGTCTCCAGGTCGATGAGAAGGAACTGTTTGTCGTCGTTGTCTTTAGCACACCAGGCTCCCGCCTCAGTCGCCGTCTCCTTGTAGTCGAACTTGGCCCGAGTGACAGACGTCTGAACGCTGAGTTCCGTAGACGTTGTCATGACGACCGTGATGATGCTGCTGGCCATCACTGATGTTGAAGAGATGGATGTTGCGATGGCCCTCATCTTCTTTTCCCTTGCAGCTGCTTCGATTTCTGCTGATTTCTCTGTACAAAAAGGCAGAATATATTATTAGCCTGACTACATCAAGCTTCCAGGGGCTCTTCCACTGGTCAGGTCCATATTTTATTACTAATCCTAAAGGGCAACACAATTGAATTGAATAAAATCCCTGTCAGTGGACGCTTAATTTAAAAGAGTTGCAGATGTGGCTGCATAGAAGCAAAGAAGTAGACTGTAATGGTGATTCCACTTACTTGCTAGCAGTTCTGGGTTCGATGCAGCCTTTATGCCAGATACACTGATCGACGTCATCGCAGATTTCATCGTGGCCTTGAACCCGAAACTCTTCCCCGTCTTGATGGAAACATCCTTGATCAAAGACCGGATGTCCTCCATCTGCTTCTTCTGTTCTTCCATCATCTTGGACAGTGACGCGACGGTCGCCTTCAGAGCCGCGATGTCGTCTGCGGTCGCCATCGTGCCTGTGTCCTCGCTACAGTTCTGCAATAGAATTAGACAAATTACTGTTACACAATCTTTTTATACTTAGTGGGGTCTTGTAGCGTAATGGCAGGGTGTTCGGCTCGACTCCTGCCCTGTCGTAGACCTTTTGCCCGCTGCAAATGAACTCTACACGACTTTCTTTGCTTCACTGGAAATGAGTACCTACTAGGTTCGGTTATGGACGTCTCTTGGTATTTATTTACAAACAGCTGTGACATGTCTAGCGTACCTATGGTATAGTGGGCGTGTTTTAAAACACAATATGCCTTTAATCTGTATCCCGAGGTTAAAGCGCCGACTATAATCAACCCCTTTGTTAACATTTGTAACCCTATATCTTCTTGGTCCAAGCGCCAGTACAGAAATGGTTCTGTCTTTATCTTATTAGCAGTATGGTTTCAGAAAGATGTTCTTTGTCGTGTTGTAATGGAAAGGGGTTATCATACAAGTCCGATTGCAACGTTTAGTTGTCGCTTGACCATATCTACATTTGTATGGAAACCATTTATCCCACATTTCGTCAAATGCACTTTATCTTTCAAAAATGCAATCACCTAATTACTTATCCTTTTCCCATTATTCCCATTAATATTTTTGACGCACTCCACAGTCCACACGTGTGGTCAAACTATCAAGTATTTCAACATTTCTATGCGTTTTCGATACAGATGTTACCACATGTGAATATCTCTCTCGCCCAATTATCCATCGAGCCATTTTACAGTAGTCTGCTATTTAATCCACAAAGACACTATAGAAATCTGACAGATAGATGGGCAGCTCCAGGCGACTTGCCATTTATTTTGTCTACCAACGCGTCCCTGTCTAATTTGTTTTGCGTCATGGTTACCAAGGAGTGAAGCCTTTTGATGTTTTCTCGTCTTTCTAACGTCAATCACTTTGTCAACAAGATATAAACGCATCGCTAGTATGCATGTTTTTGCAATTTTATCTTCCTTATTCTGTTACCTCCCACCATTTTTGTCATAGACGGTATAACATTCAAAATGAATACACGGCATAGACTTCGATTGACAACCAGGGATATTATATTTGCTTACTAAAACACACAGTATGATGCCATGTGTTATCCTTTGCACGCGGGGAGGTATACTTCTAAATGGTCTACTTATCTCAGTGTGATTACTGTCACTGGTATGTTTTGAAAGGGATGCCCCGAGGGTCTTCTCTTATTTATTGTCACTGAAGCGTTACTTCACTTTTATCCTACTCTCACTTTTCTTCTACTTTCTTTATATCCAACATTGAGTCAAGCGGGGAAGTTTGGTATTTTGATTTTTAATTTCATGTTGACACACTTAAGCATTCTTTTCTTCATAGGTTAAAAAAAGTGCATTCAGAAAAAGTGTAAACAAGGTGTAAACTGTTTGTTTACCCTCTGTAACACCTAATAACAATGCCTATCAATACCTTTTTGGTTAGGTTTTGTTCCGTGATGTTTACGTACTTCTAGTAGAAACATTAACCTGTAATCATTTTGTTTATGAAAAGTTATTCAGAAGTGTCCAGATGGAGACGTGTTGTTTGGTCAGAAAAGTTACAAAACTTTCTCAGTTTTGGATAGATCAAAATATACCTTTATCCGTAGCCTTACAACGTACGTACATTCTTTAGTAACTATCAATAATTCTAGTTACAGCTTCACTCAAAAGACATAAAACGCGTAAGTTTAAAACTAAACTCTCAGGCTAGTTTCAAATGTGCCTAGGCCATGTGCCATTATAGACTGACCTATTTTTCAACACGCCCCTTTTAATTGCCTCAGACACCGACGCGGCTCCACAACAGGTTGTCAGAAAGTGCGAATGTTTAATGACTCCATGACCCCAGATACATCTGTCATATATAGCCTCCTTCGCAGACTTATAGATAGAACGGCGGCCGTATTTGTTTTCGATGAGCGACGCGAATTATGCCGCAGAGGGACGGTTTTGACGCCGAGGGAATTTTGCCGAGGAAAGAGGGTTGTTGGGGGGGGGCGAAACCATCTCTCCCTGGCAAAACTCCATCGGCAGCAAAACCGTCCCTCTGCGGCATAATTCGCGTCGCTCACCGAAAACAAATAAGACCGCCGCCCTACAAGTCTGCGAAGGAGGCTATACCATAAAGTGGATGGTATTTCTGGTCTGTAGTTTGATTGACACATACTGAGATTACTCTGCTCCCATTTTGTTATGTCTCGCAATACTTACATACTGGCATAATCTGTCTACTGTGATACATTTTCTGTCTCTAAGGGGTACAATTGTACCGGTATATTTGGTATCAATATGGAGTATATTTGATATCAATATATCAATATTACAGTATATGGATGTTTAAAAAAAGCTAATCAGATTCGGACGTTGGCAAATATTCGCAATTTAAATTCTATGCGCGTACAGCTGCACGATTGCATACGGCAAAGTTAAGACGACTATAGACTATAAACATACAATATCGATAGAATCTACTCGACCATTATCCTAGACTTGGTAACAACACTTAAGTTTTTCATTCATCTCCACTTCCTTTAAAAGGACAGGTGTCCCCTCCTCCCCATCCCCTTTTAAACCTCCCCCGTAGGCCTTACACCTCTTCGCGTTAGCCATTTAAATCTAATAATCATAGGTTAGCTTTTTTCAGTTACCGATCGTTACAGTACTTTTTTTAACGGTGTCGACGACGCTCAGTGTCAATGCAAGGCCAATTATTTTTGGCCACTTCTAGGCATAGAGCTAGAGGTACTTAAGTGAGTATAATGTAGTTGTCAAGAGATGGCGGTGGACCTTTGTTTTAAAGCTTTGTGGATTGTAATCAGACGGAAAGCAGCTGTTTGGAAGAGAGTTCCATAATTTTGCAGTCCGGGGAAAGAAGCTGTACTACGAGTATCCACCTACCTTTATCAAAAGTAGCGATGACTTGGCGGTGACAACGGGAGGTTGTGTGCTGGAAGCCCCCTGCCTCGGTACGTCCGACTGCTGAGGTCTCCACACCGACAACTGGGCCGTCTGTCACCGGTTACCGCTGCTTAGCACGCGGTGATCAAAGGGCAGAGGTCACTCAGTCACCTGTGTCTCAGACTTCTGTGTACGAACCCCACCTGTGCTATTAACTGGATCATTGTATCATTATCATCATTCTTGCAATTCCTCCTTATAGTGCGTTTAGTCAGGTCACAACGGTCCCTTCCCACAGTTTATTTATCATCTGCCAAAGTTTATTCAAAGCATGCAAGAGTAGTACAAATTCATAAACGTATTTTTGGCAAATCGCCCGAGGTAAAATCTGCCATCATAATTTTTCATCCAGACCCTTTAACCCCAAACAGCCATTCCGCCCTAATTAATAATCACAATGTTTACCTTTCCCTTCATAATTTGTCACTTATCACATAAACAGAGGCCTCAAGCCTGTGATGTTATGAAGGATTTAAGACTACAACTACTTTCACTAAGAAAATTATACATTTCAACAAGTTGTTTATTCGTTCCTCTTTCTTTGAAACGTAAAGGTACTATACGCCCCCTCTTCAAACCAGCACGAGGCGCTACACATGGTTCCGTTGTCCATTTAAATCTAATAACCGGTTCTACCAGCTTCGTCTTTGACGTCCCAGATTTGCGGACGCGTAGTCAGTAACTGGGCTCATTTGTGAAAAAAAGGGGCAAATTGTCGGTGAAGGACAAGAAGATATTCTTCTCGTCTGTAATGAGTAAAAGAGCTGTTATTGCCTGTAGTCCCAGTCGCTTTGCCCAGTTTATCATACTCCTACTTTTATTGTAAATTATGGGTTAGTTGTTTAAAGGTACCGGTCATTGACCCCAGTATGGTTCTGGTTGAGCAGAGGAGCTGACAACTGAAGGGGGCGTGGTTGTTCAATGGACTCGTCCAAACAAAGCTAAAGATTTGACAAACTTACATCTCTTACTGATTCCCATATAACACTTCGCATACTGACACTTATCTTACATGTTACCATTACTAACCAGTATCTGATAACCTTTATAGTTTTGCAATACATGCTATATCAAAGTTATTTTTACTCCATATGGCTTTCTCTTAAGAGAGTGTGTGCGTACTAAACGTCCGTTGCTTGCAGCAATGCCGGCAGCCGATTGACCTAAGGGTCATCAGTGGTTCTGTCAAAACTTAATTGATGGATTCTTCTAGACCTGAGACTTTTAAGAGCCTCTTATTATCTGACTGTAATTTTGTCCGTATTGTATCTGTATCGATATAGCCGGTATAACCGCCCTTCGGCGTAACACACTAGCTTCGCAGGCACGCGGCGCGGCGGCAGAGTAGGTGTCGTATTGCTTGTGAAATGGTCCCGAGATGGTGGTTTGGGCATGCATGGTCGTCCCAAAAGATAGGTATCAGGCCATATATAAACCGGCCACGCTGTCCAACCCATCTATCTAGTACCCATATATCTTTCTATCTATCATTTTCCTTCGGCGCAAACTCTTGCTGTTTTATCATTCTGCTTTTCCTGCTTCTTCACAATGACCAGATACAATTATTTGCCCTCAGAAAACATGAACTTTTATTCACAAAATAGTTCTAGGACTGTTCACAACAAATGTCCATCTTTTCTCACATTCCTTTGTGTCGATGATAATAGTACAGCTGTCTTGTGTAGAAGGCTAGTAGTATAATATTAGAATCAAAGTTGTAGTTGATGCCCATGCCCAAAATCTATAGAATATATCCTTTGCTGTTGTCTTGTGTAAAATAGCACATTTTTGACTGTCTAATGTGTTATACATTGTCGTAATCGTGTATATCTTTTGAAGGCTGCTGCTAAGCTTTCAACGCTATTGATATTCGAATATCTATATGCCGAAAACCTGCATAAAGTACTAGTAGTTCCAACTGACACTATTTTATACCATTTTGCGTGCTTTTAAGTATCACGCCATAAAATGTAAGTGTATTAGGGTTTCGTAGCCGTTAATCATATATAGAATGCTATCTGAAACATCTGACTTATGACAATGGCACAGTTGGTTGCTGTGTTCTGCTGTTGCAATATGACTAACCACAAAGAATAATCATTACATAACATTGAATAGTCTTTTACATAAGGGTTTAACTGAATGTCAACAATCAGAAAGACAGAAATGTAAACATTATCGAAACGTTGTTTTTAATGTCTTTTTATCATATTAGTTTTTGATGTCTTTTAACATGTAACAAAGTGATATCTTAACCTTTCTGCTGCCTAATCCTGTGAACAATCGGCTACTTCAGTATGCTAGTTTTAAGGGTCAATGTGAAGTAACATTATTCTTGCGGCACAGTTGGAAACTTGGCCGTCACGTCAGTTGAATGTGTGAATCACTTCACCTGATGTGTAAATAACATTGAATTAAAGTGCTGATACGCTATATAAAACCTTGTATTTAACAAAAAATACCCACTTCTTAGATTGGATGATTCCATATCAATATATTTAAGTTGCAATTTAATCAGTGGTATTGATGATATCATTTGGGGAGCATGTCATCAATGCTGTGGGTATTGTAATGAAATGTTGAAGTCTGAATATCACTAGAAAGGTGGCATATTTAATGCAGGTCTTCGAAGGAGTATAGATTTTACAAGCTACAAGCAGACATTGAAGATAGATTTCAAATGGCTTGTTGTTTCATTGGATCCACAAATTTTCTCAAAAAGTTAAAAAGAATACGATATATCCGTGAATATTTCAGGTTTGCAAAGAGACTGTCCTAATAGGCTCTGTATTCAACAACTGGTTGGTTTTACATTCGACATTTTGGTGACAAACGGAGATGTTTGTGTCTAAAGTGGTTGACAGTCATCGAAACGTCGGATTTTTTTTTAGGAAAAATTGACTCTCCAAGCAGAGGTTTGGGCCTCTGCTTGTTTTTGACATGTGTTAGGTGTTTTTATTGGTTTTCTGCCTTTCTTGATGGCCCCCAAATATCTACTTAATAGGAATTAGTAAGAAAATCCCAATGGTTGTTGAATTAAGTACTAGCAGATCCCTCTCGGTGGCAAGACAGAATCCATTAGCCAGAGGAGTTTGCCCGGCCACCGAAGGTGGCTAACGAACACTCTGGCCAATGGACACTGCCTCACCACCGTATGATCTGCTTGGAGATTAGAACAAAGAACCCTCTTATACAAAATGTGATATATTGGATATTTTTACCAGGGGTGTCCCAAGAGTTACCGTTTACTGTCGGATATGTCCACTATCTCCAGCGGGATGCTCTTGCTGTTTAGGCCTCTGCTTATTTGTGGTTAAAAAAACACTTGTTGTTGAATAAGGAACATCATAGTCTTATACATAATGTGATACAGTAGATATTTTTTTACCAGGGGTGTCCCAAGAGTTACCGTTTACTGTCGGATATGTCCACTATCTCCAGCGGGATGCTCTTGCTGTTTAGGCCTCTGCTTATTTGTGGTTAAAAAAACACTTGTTGTTGTATAAGGAACTTTCTTATACAAAATGTGATATAGTGGATATATTTTTACCAGGGGTGTCCCAAGAGTTACCGTTTACTTTCGGATATGTCCACTATCTCCAGCGGGATGCTCTTGCTGTTAGGGCCTCTGTTTAGTTTTGGCAACAAAAAAAACAGTTGTTGTTGAGTAGGGAACTCTCTTATACAAAATGGGATATAGTGGATATATTTTTTTTTACCAGGGGTGTCCCAAGAGTTACCGTTTACTGTCGGATATGTCCACTATCTCCAGCGGGATGCTCTTGCTGTTTAGGCTTCTGCTTATTTGTGGTTAAAAAACACTTGTTGTTGTACACTATGTAAGGAACTCTCTGATGTAGTAATATTAGCAGTATATATATTTTTACCAGGGGTGTCCCAATAGTTACCGTTTACTGTCGGATATGTCCACTATCTCCAGCGGAATGCTCTTGCTGTTTAGGCCTCTGCTTATTTGTGGTTAAAAAACACTTGTTGTACACTATGTAAGGAACTCTCTGATGTAGTAATATTAGTAGTATATATATTTTTACCAGGGGTGTCCCAAGAGTTACCGTTTACTGTCGGATATGTCCACTATCTCCAGCGGGATGCTCTTACTGACGGCGCCCATGACGATGGGCTTGGGCGGCAGGGTGGGCGACTTCTTCTCGGGGGCGCAGGCGGCCTGCACCGGCCCGCTTCGGTGGGACGACACGGTGTGCGCAGAACTCCTGCCATCCTGTAAGCATGATACAATAAAGGAAGGTTAGAAATAACTGATCCACACTATATAGCCTTATTTTATCAGGTATAACTAGGTACTAGCCTTGCGGAACGAAGCATAGCGCATGGTAAATATACAGCCTTTTTGTATAGAACTTTGTACCAGTGAACTCGAGTAAGAACTAGGGACTATGTGAGTTGTCTATAAAAAAAATCGCCAACTTTGATACTTCAATGAAGGTTAGATATATAGGTAATAAGATATGCCAAATTACTCAAGCCTTGAGTAATTTGGCGTATCTTATTACCTAGATGTCTAACCTTCATTCAACCTGATGTTCCGAATCACATTTTGCAGCGTCTACTATCAAAATAACTGCTAGTAATAATAAGGTCTACTAAATTCAAATAACTAAGTGCACGTACACGCGTAAAGAAACATACCGAAAACAAATGTTTTTGGGCGATTGGCCTACCTTGTGGCGGACCTCCTGTAGACTAGTTAGCGGGGTCATGGCGATGTCTCCCTGGCTGGTCCGGTCGGGTCTTCGGCGAGAGCGGCGGTTGAAGCGCGACGCTCGCGTCTGTCCGCATCCCTTGAACACAAACACGTAGCAGCACAGTCCGCACACTGCCAGCAGGACGAAGCTGCCGATGGCGATCCCCATGATTTCCGCAAACGTCAGATGAATCCCTGCAAAAACATATGCTAGTGTTGAATCCCTGAAAAAGATTTATCAAATCTAAACCGTCCGTCTATCGCACAAAATATTCCTGTGAAAGATGCCAAGGAAAGGTATTCCAATGTTAAGAGATAGGGATATAATTATGTTTTCCATCCTTTCCCCTCATCCAGTGATAGGAAAGGACATCAATTAGAATTATCTCTGAAAAAACAAGAATTTCTGCTGGGACCATTAGTCTTAGCCATTTTTAAAATAGTTTAAAGTGCAATAGTATATCTACTCGGCAATTCCATCCAGGCATCCAGAGGTAGATCGCCAGTAAACATGACTGCACATCAGTACAGTGATGAGCGGAGGAATAAGAAAATATCCACACAGCCTGTTGAATATGCAAAATTAATCTTATTTTTAACATCAAAGCTGAGGGCCTGGCAACGCTAGTTGTTTTTCACGGTGTCAAAATATTTTCATTACTGTTAACATATCGACCATTATAGGTACAAATTAAAGCCCATATGACACTAATAAGACTGAAAAAACATTTCATAAAATTGTCAAACATGATAAATCTTATTGAATGAACAAAGACGTTTGGACATAAATTCACTTTTCTGATGTAAGGGAACATCGATCTTTGTAAATCATCCTTCCAGTTCTTGGTTTCTACCGCCAGTTAATCCAATTAAATGTTGCCCAGTGATATAACGGTGGCCACGGCAGGGAGTTCATAACCTTTGCACGACGGATAGTAAAAAAAAAAGTTTCTTTTCAGAGGCAAAGTAAATCAAACATAAATAACTTCGTGATCGTAGTCACGATAATTATGTACTCAAGTATTTTTGTCTCTCTTTGGCATTTTTAAGTTTATTTTACATGCTGTATTTTAAGTTAATGTACTCAATATTAGATGAATGATATCAATACAATCCTTGTAGGATCATTATACAAATGTCCATGAGACACACATTTTGACATTAGCCACAGTATAAAGAGCTATGAATGACACCTTACCGGGTTCTGGGCACCTTGCCTCGTTCTGGTAGTGTGACTCATCGCTGACGTCATCACTACCACAGTTGTGGTAGCCGTCACACGTCAGGCTGGAGTCAATGCAGCGGTCGTTCGAACACTTGAAGAAGTCGCCTTGAGGGCAGTGGCCTGTGGCAAGATGTTGTTTTAACTTCAAATTTATTTTCTTCTTGTTAAAGATACTAGCTTCAGTGACTTGTGGCAGAAATGCATTTTAATTTTGCCTTCTTGAAGACATTTATGTCTATGTCTCGCTTAACATACAGATTTTTGTTATCTCCATGTTTGGAGGTTTTGTTTTCGGTGTATTTCTTTCTTTGCGCTTGAGTACGTAGTTATTTTAATACAGTAGAGGCAAAAGGGGAAGATTGTGTAACCCTAGACTGACAGTTGGTCAAATTGGAGGTTGAAATTCTGACAGCCAAGACCTCATTCGCTATCTACGTGTTTTTTTTTTCTCATTCACATACACAGTTCTATGCCTTTATCTTTCTTAAAAGGGTTTTAAAACAAGGCACACACCAAATATCGACATAGTGAACGGGCAAACGCACTTGGTCTAAGATTGTCATCATAATCAAGGGGATCTTCGATCTAAAAAGAAATGATCTCTCACCGGATGGGCTGAAGTAGTAAGTGGTGAACATGATGTCAAAGCTTCCTTGTCCGGACGAGTTGGTGGTGAGGTGCAGAGAGATGTTACTCTTGGCTGAGATGAAGTCTCTGGACATGCTGCAGACTTTCCTGTCGTAGGAGGCGAAGGGGTCCTCGTAGTTGCCGTTGTAGATGTCGAGCCTGTTGGTGGTGCACACGTCGGAGGTGACGTTGCTGCCGGGCTGGCGGATGTCCATGGCTAGGAACTGGAGCACAACCTAAGAATATTAAGAAATAATAATGATTACAAAAAGGTAATATTTGTAAAGCAAATGCATAATGTTTACCTTCACAGATGGTCTGCTCTGTTAATTCATATATATATAATGACAGGCGTCTAAATCCCTCCTGCTATGATGTAACCCAACACTAGTTACCATGGTGACAGACGTTTTGTTCAGGTCATTGACCTTATTTCTTTGGAGAAAAAGAGGAAGAAACTGAGCAAAAACAAGATGTCTTCCTTCGGTAAACATAAAATTATGCCAATAATAACAATATTATTAACATTAAAGAACCCACCACACCTTTCGAAAAAGGGTAGGGCCCTAGCGTGTGGTAGTCCAAACACTACTATCCGGAAGTTGGTGATTCACTGCGAATTCCAGGAAGAATAGTGTTGAATTTACACTAATGGAGATCCATGTAAAACAAACAAACAAACAAACCTTCTGTTCAGGCTCTGCGCGCAGGATGACCACGCAGTTGCGCTGGTCAGTCGAGCCGTTCCACCGGATGTGTCCGGTTTTTCCCAGTGGAACGGTCTTTCCACAGTGGTCCAACAGATTGACTAGTAAAAACAAAAAGGAAAAAAATTATTTTCTTTCTATGCGTGGTGTCATGTCTTCACTTAGCAGCTGCCAGATGTCAGCTGCCAGCGTGGACGCTGACAGATACCACTGAGGTGGTAGTTGACACACTTTTTCTCAATTTTTTTTGTTATGTCCTGTGGTAGAGATATTTTAAAGGCACCTAATGCATGCTGCAAAACTTGAAATACACCGAATAAGGCAATCTGTATGATATTGGCACATACTGCCCCACATTAGCACATTTACATTATGTATTTCATACATTGGACTTTGCACCATTTGTATTATGTTGTTACTCACATAATATATTCCACAAAATTATAGTTCCAAAGCAACAAATACTTAGCGCATGCCGTTTGATGTAATATAACGCTTAACGCAGCTCAAATCAAACATGTTATCTAACAGTACGCTGCCATTCTTCGCTAGGCAACACTTAGCCCATATGTCATTGTCTAATTCTTGTGCCAATTGATTTATTTAGTATATATTTTTATTATTTCGTAATGCACCAAGACGTGTCTTTTAAGTACCATTTATAATGCACCAAGGTGCAGTTTATGTAATACAAGACGTTTCATAACTGACTACCTGCGTATTAACATTTTCTTTTATATGTCGCCATTTTCCTACGAACGCAACATGTTAACGTCATCACCATTCCGCCAAACGTTCGCGACATTTGCCTTACAAAGGTTAACCGTAACACAATATATAGCCCTGGCAGGCACGGGGAACGCCACGTGTCCTGCTGGGCGTATCCATGGCAATGCCATGGCAACGGACGTCATTACCCTCCGCATACATTATTTCTGGTTCTTACCTGTACGCACTGGTCTGTTAGGTTTGCAAGAATGTAACCGTCTAAAATGTTCTGGATACGGTGCAAAATGTGACAAATAAACAGTTTGAAGGGATGGAAAAGTTATGAATTGGTGTAACTGAGATTATTGGGTTTGGGGATACCTTTTTTATGCGCCTATGTTGTCTACCGCACGCGCGTATTGTTTGCTTTCGCGATATGCTTTTAATCTTGCCTTGGGCAGACGTCTTTTTGCGTGTCCCATGGTTACCAATGTAAATCTCCTTTCAAGCCGGGAGCTTGAAAAGGATCAGACAAAATAACGGCCCCGCTCCATCTTCGCACAACTCCGAACCGAGGTTACTAGTTTCAGTACTTGTCAATTTGTTATAATTGTAATAATTAATTCACAAACCATCCATGATCATATTGGAAAACAAATAAACGTCCCGAATAACACGATACCTGCATGCGAATCGCCGTCGTTAAAAGTCAAAGCAAGGACATTATAAAGAAGTACAAGTATAATGTATAATGTCCTTGGTCAAACCAAAACTGTATACATGTATAGAATATCAACATAACGGAAAAGACTGGAAAAGAATAGGTCAGCTACTGACTACAGAGTTACTGTGCAGTAATATTGACATTTTAGACTTTGGAATTTTGTTTTAAAAACTTTATACTGATAATTTGCTGTACATCTTCAAAAATGGAAAAAATAGACGTCTATTTCAGGCAATGGGAAAGTTGATTGTTGTTGCGTAGCCGTAAACATGTGGCGCCAACCGCTGTCTTTGAAGCGAACTGTTTCTGCGTTTTCGGTAGTTCTTTCAAATATCATGATGCACACAATTCGTGAAGCTCTAACAAAGGGTAACAAAGTTACGTTATGAATGTCTTTATCAATGGATGGAATTATCAATGGAAGCATTTGTGTTCACTAGACATGGTTTCTGCATGAATACATTCATAGGACCGTTTCTGACATATGGCTGACATGCCGTAAAGCAGGAGGTCATTCGGCCATGTTTCTTGAATATTAAAACTAGTGCTTTATCGCGTCGAGCCCAATGTTTACAGCAACAACTGTCATATGGAAAATAAAAATGCGGGTCTGTATTTATGTAATAATGTTCGCTCTGTTTCAATGAGCTAAAGCATGATAGTAGTCGTCAGAATATTATATTTCATTGGGTGTCAATTCATACCTTGCAAATGTTATTATTTAGAAAAACGCAATTTTATAAACACAGAATATTTTCAGCTTCTTTTCTGTAGTTCTCACTGTAAGATGAATACAGTAAGTGCTAAGAACATACCTAACACACGGAAAGCATACCTTTCTTATCTACTTCGCATGTCATCGAGACATTCATTTACTTTTTGCGCTATCTGAGGCACGTACGATTGTACAAAGGGGATATTAAAAGAGTTTGAAATGTTTGAAAAGTTTTAAACATACAAAATGTTAAAGGACAGAATAAAATATGTGTCGTCATCGCGTAAAAGAAAACACCAGCGCGTTCATACCATCACCCCCCCTCCCCCCATCCGCCATTATTTTTCCAGAAGACTCGTTTGAAGCCACAGCCTATGTGTGGGCGGGTGTGTGGTTTATAACGTTGTTGTTCTCATTATGTGCTGTCGCATTATAAACATGTTGTTTTTGTTGTTTTTACAAATTTCTAGTCGTTTCTGTTATTCTAACAAGGCAGTGTAAAGTTTACAATTAAATTTCATACCTTCGGGGGGTAATAAATACAGCTGTGAAAACAGAAAATATCACTGTTTTCAAAACGATAATGCCTGAATCTTTCACAGGTGTTTCAGTATCTTATGACGAGAGATATATTAACGACCATGGTCGCCAGGTCATAGGAACCTTATTTTTTCAAGTATAGTATGTTTTGTTTACATTTATAAGTACCCACAACACAAACAATAGCAGCATGCAGTATTATACAGAAAACACGTATCCTGCTATCAAGAGATTAATTTGAAGACATGTACCATTATAATAACTGCCTCTGTGTTAGTTGTGTGTATAAAATGTAAACAGTTCTTTTGAAACAGGCCAGTGTATATCCACTGTTATTAGCGTTGGGTATTCTATGATATCAACAAAGAGATGGAGAGTGCATGGATCTTACAATTCGCCATACTGCTACCCTAAGAATACTATAACAGATGTAACAATAGTCCGCATAGATAACAGAACAATAGCAAGGTACACCGGCATTTTTTCCACTATCAGTATCAGGACCTCTTGTCGCTAGAACCTTGTAGTTGCTTTAAACCAAATATTAGCCAGGAGTGTTATTTCAATGTCACAACACAGGCTAATGTTTACGTTAGCACATTATAGAGAAAAACGGTACCATACCGGTCTGGTGATAGGCGCCTCTCCCATGCGCTGCCATCACCCCAGTTCCAAGCATCAGCGTCGCCATGAGTAGAATTCTCATCTCCATTGGCAGAAATCTCTCACAGCGAAGCAGCAGCCAGGCACGTCAAAAGGCGCAGCCCTTTCCCCGACTAATTATCCCGCCTAGCTACCTGTTGCTGTTCGTACCAGAAACGCCGTCCGCAGAAAAACTGCATGTCCCTTTTCTTCTCAAATCTCGGGCTGAATCACTAAAGGCGATGAATGGAAAGAAATCAAAACTTTGGTGGCGAGAAGAAAACGGAATGGAAGGCAAAAGCGATATTAGGGTAGAAATGTCAACCGACACCACTGCCGCAAATGGGGATATGAATATTCATGGTCGCAAGCGACCTTTGGTGTCTGCGGGAGCCTAACTACGCACGTCGTCTCAGCGAAATGTCGTTAGCAACGGTGACAGATCTTTGTATACCTGCTGGCTATTTCCATTTTCCCTCATATGATGTACTAATACGTTGTATTTTGTCACAGCGGTGGCTGAATTGGGAGGCAATTTCGTTCATAAAGAGAGTTATTATATCAAAGCTGTTTGCGTCCATTTCACACTTTCATCTACATATTTTTGCGTCGAAATGATGACGTCAAGACTTTTGATAAAAAAAATATATTTTCTACTACAAAGTCTCTTCTTCTAAAATATAGATTTTTTTAATTTCCATGTACACAATATACTACCAATGATAATAACCCTTATCTTGGAGAGAAAAAAGAAAACAGGCGTAAAACACAGGGTGCATATTTTCTGCTTTCTGCAGGAAGTTAGGTCAATGGTCCCAAAAAAAACTTATCTTATTTCCTGTGTTCAGATTTCTGCAATACTTGTATACATTTATGTTGCATTGTCGGGGCCAGTGCGAAAATTTCAGAATCAGTCTGAGAGAGAAATTTCAAGCAATGCAAAAAGCAAGAAATTCACGAAAAAAAAAATTTTACGGACGTATGATATCTGCCATTTCATATTTTTTCAAAAGTGTACGTTTACACTACAGAAGGTCTTTCATGTCAGTTGTCACAGATCTGCTGGTTATCTTTGAAATACGACATAATGAGTCCCTTTGAGACGCGGTTTATAGCCTTCGTCATTAGCCGGAGAAAAGTGCCGCCGACAATAACAATTTTCTGCGTCATTACTGCCAAAAGCTGTAAACAAGCTAGTCTCCAACAGACTCCTTTGCATGCAGGCTAAATGAATAGTAGAAATCGGCCTAAAATTCAAAAAGAATGTAGCTGGCCAGGGGAGATGGCCTACCATAGAGAGTCCAGTTTGCCTCTATGCAGTTTAGTTTGTTTTGGAGCATTGTCTCACTTTTAGTTGTGTATTTGTTTGTTGGTTTGCTTGTTTTAGAGCATTGCGATCGGTAATGCAAAATAACTTCTCTACTGATCTTTCAGTTCTGTTCCACGTCTATCGACATATTGTACCATTGTTAGCTATAGTGTGATATGCTTCAAGCAGAAGTCTTATGTTAAACGACGTTAGGCTTAAGACAAGTTTTTTTCCACATATTTGTTAGTCTTTTGTTTATTTAGTTGTCTGTTGTTCATTAGTCATATGCTAAATTACAATAGCCTGTAAAGAGCTGTTGTTACACGGCATTATCGACTTCAGCACGCCCATTGAAGAAATATTGCCTTTGTGATCAATACATTTACATAGGATTAACTATGTGCGACTCCGTGGCGCAACGGTAGCGCGTCTGACTCCAGATCAGAAGGTTGCGTGTTCGAATCACGTCGGGGTCACATAAATATTTTTGGTTTCATCTAGTGATATATCTTATACATAAAATTAAATTGCTAATAGTTTTAATGACTATCATTTTTCACGTTCTTAAGTTATTTCCGTTTATTATTTTTTTTTATTTGCTGACAGGGCAGAAAATCGTAAAAAAAATCGCGGTGATCTGTTTGTTTTAAACTTACTGTATTGTCACGAGGTTATAATATAACTAACCTCCTTATTTAGTGAAATGCTGATAAATCCAGACCAAACATCTTAAAGTTTTGTAGATTGCAAGTTATCATTTAGAAACTGGCCTAACATGTCAAGTAAGTCAACAGCCCTTTTGTAGGCCCTTTCATGATATCGATCGGATTGCAAATAGGCGTTGTTTATTCATTGTGAATACGCGTGGGAGTTAGAGCATATGCGACTCCGTGGCGCAACGGTAGCGCGTCTGACTCCAGATCAGAAGGTTGCGTGTTCGAATCACGTCGGGGTCACATAATGTTTTTTCTCTTAAAATAGTTTTATCGTTTTTACACCACTAAAATGGTTTTTAAATTAGTATATTAATGCAACCAAGAAATGAATGTGGATTTGTCTTACTTTTTTAATGGTAACGTACTTCTACGACAGCAGTAAGTGCACGTGTTTGACCATTTTGAAGTGCTTCCAGCCAGTCAAGTACCTCTCATCACCAGAAATCATCTGTACCAAATACTCCACTCTCTCACCACGATAACTAAGTAGCGATGAGGAGGGGCACTTCAAATGCGGATCTAACACTAAAAGAGCACTTGGCGGAAGCACCGACGGCTGTTGTTTTTTTTAAACCTGAAGTTCCGTAAATAGACCAATTATGACTGTCTATCACAATGAAGTCAGTGAAGTTAGCCAATGATAGCACGGCATTTAGCAGTTTGACCAATGAGATTGGTTGCCTGTTGTTATAGTTTTGCATATGGGATCGGTCTAGACCAGTGTTATTTGCCACAAGTCCAGACCACGTTTCCTTTCCACACTTTCCAGAACTCATGCCGCTAATTTTTCAACATGTAGCCCGGAACTTCGCAATTAGTTCAACAGTGTAGAGTAGACGTAGAAGAGAGCATTAGTGTTATTTTTCGGAGGAAATGTTATGTTGGTGTTGTTTTAGCTCACAAAAATGTGGAACCTAACATGAAAAAGGGCAGGCAAGAGTGTGAGTATGTACCGCTGTTGCTGTTGTTGCTGACTTCGTTTTTCATCGAACCCTGCTTTGGTAAGTACGCTGTTTTTTTGTTTTTTTTCATTACTGTAACACTTTTTATCTAACCATAGTCGATAAGATAGAAACGCCATGGTTCTTGAACTGCGGCCGGGCATAATCTTTTGAAATATTTAGTAAATATTACTACTACTTTTTTTCTATGAGTTTAAAAATATTTTCAGGTTATAAGCAATAGAGCGAGTTTTTATTCAATATAATAATTGTAACCATTTAAGTCGTGTTTATTAATTTAATGATAATTTCGACGGGTTGGCTGCTCATTGTTGAATTATATTTAGATTTAAAAAATACATATGATTAAAAAAGTTCAATGTGACCCCGACGTGATTCGAACACGCAACCTTCTGATCTGGAGTCAGACGCGCTACCGTTGCGCCACGGAGTCGCACTTGAGATAATCCTCACATGAACAAGCAATGGTCTCATTTTTTTTTCTTTACACCTTACTAAGATTTTAAGTTCATTTTCCAAAAAAAGGGGACAATAATTCATTTTAAGTATATCCTGTTATGCATTCGAAGAAAACTAGGTTAAAGAAACGCCTAAACGGTTCTATGGAGACCATTGGATAACCATATGCCTGTACCGTTACGTAAATCTTATTAAATGTCTGCATTTGTTACCCTTTCAGGCATAATGCCAGTAGGGAGAATTATTCCAGGATAATTAAGAACTAGCTCCTGTGAAAACTTTTTTGTTTGCAACAGTTGAAAAGATACTATCTTTCAATGTGAACAGCGAAACCTTAAAAAACAACATCTTTACAAAACCTTGCTTTGAGTTGTCAAATATCATACCCCATTCACTAAAGCACCTGGTATATACGTACATGTATAAACTATAAAAATTTAGGAAGCCTAGCCGTTGACATCTTGCGAAAGGTATACGTAGCGAAACACGTTTATTGTTCTTTGTAAAAGACTGGGTGAGTTTTAGGTATTTACTCATATCATCTAAAGTCTCAGTTTCAGGATGTAGACAACATGAATGTAGCGTTTGCTGGTTACAAGAGTACTCTTTACAAAACGTACAGACACTAATGCCGCCAGCTTAATGTCAGGTACATGTATTTAGTGTCGGTACTTTAGGCTTTTGAAAGCACCGAAGCGAGTCGTATCCGTTTAACGGCAATGGGACAGGCTCAGCAACCACTTAGGCTAAAATTGTAGTCGCGTGTAAAGGCTGTGTCATGTTTCAAGTTGAGGACACATTCATTCTTAAAATGGCTGACCCAGAATGCTGCCACCCCATTTATCATAAGCCAGCGTCCCATGCTTTAAGCAAGAGGTTTACAACAGTGAACTGGGGACACAATTCTTTGAACAGTCGTGGATGCGTCGGGCGTAGTCGTGAACGTGTCGTGTAAACTTCAGCTGTTTGTAATGGAAACGGCCTAGCCTCCACCAGGCCTTTCTGTGGGAATACGGATCGTAGAATTCGGCAAAAGAAGAGTAAAATTGGCTAGGGAAGTCAGTTTGTAGAAGGTTGTTTCTTTCCCTAACTGCGCGGCCAATCAAACCCCAAGGCAGCCAAACTCCCCTGGCAAATATTCTACTATATATTGCCAGCGTAGTTAGTTAACGGTTTACCGAATGCCCTTGTTGATGGTCAATCCTGTCGTAATTTTGACAGAAAATGGCGCAGTAAAAAAATAATATGTATATTTCCTCGCATGTCATAGAGCCTCAAGGCACTGTAAGGCACCGTGCTCGTCCCAAACAGGTAATGAGATCCATATTTACATATCACCATGGCAACAGGTCCATATTTACATATCACCATGGTTACCAAGGCGGTGGCCGCAGGTGCACTCCTGCAGCAATCTCAACACCGCGCGACGGTCGCCTGGCAACGCGGAGCTTTTGACACTTCAATGGTGACGACACGGCGTGTGTGTACCACAGAAAGGCCGCCGAAATATCAGCACGGATATGGTTTCATTTGAAAAGGATTTCAATGCCAAGAATTTGGTGTCTTTTTACGGTTCACACATATTGCTGAAATCTTTTTACATGAATTCAAGAAATACTACCCAGTTGTGAAATAATTGAATGTTCTGTAAACTTATTCTGTAGACAAAAGAATAAAAAGGCATCGACTTGCGACTGACTCTTGTCCATTAACTTTTCATGATTGGTCATAGTCTTGCTACAGTGCCAATTTGTAAACTTGCCTTCTCTATGTGAGCTCAATACGTTATATGGGTGCCGGAAACAATGCAATATGGTGGTTGAAACTAAGTTTTTTTCTTTCTTTGTTATATTCAGCTTCAGTGCCAGACGTGACGCTAGTCAACATGTTTCAGTTCTCCGTCAAGGAGGAGTTCACCCAGATGAAGTGCGTTTCCGCCGAGGCGTCTTCGTTAAGCTTCGGAGCGAACGAGCCCTTTCGGTACCCTTCGGCAAGCTTCGGGCCGACGGCGATTCGACCCGAGACGTGGGGTGGCCAGATGGTCTGGTTCTTCGCAGGGGGTATGTATTTCTCATCAAAACATGTATTTTTATTACATATTTGCAGTTATATTTTTTAAGCTTGATCTAGAATGAGTATATCGCCATATGATATTGGGATTTTCTTATACACAACCAGTACTTGGTGAGGGTAGTACTAGTTTTGTATAAGAAGATACCTAGAAAAATAAAATCTTGGAGTTTTGATTCATTTTTTCCCATCTTAGCCGGTGCGGATAAAGCTGGTGTGTTTAATTGTAAAGCGGTCCTACCATCGGGTCAAGAGGTCAAGGTCAGCACGGTCAAGATGACGCAACCAGGTCAGATATGTGTAGGCAGGTCAGATATATGTAGACAGGTCAGATATATGTAGACAGGTCAGATACTGTATATGTAGACGTTGTTTCTATATCCCTGTGGCCAGAATATATATGATAGCTTGGGGGTAAAAAAGTAATAATCCTACCAACAAGAGTGAATTTTGCAAAACCAATTAATATAGATTCTTCGTCCAAAAATTGAGCTCCCCACGCTTTCCTGGGTTGTATGTTGTCTTCGCTCTCTTCAGCCACGGTCTTGCCAAAGCACTTCACCATAACAGCACATCCTGGCGACACCGTCAACTTCTACACCCAAACCAACGGGAGTTTCGCCGAACGAATCCGCTGGAAGAAAAATGGCGTCGTCTTACAGAACATGGCGAGCGCAAAGGTCATGACCCTGTATGACGTGGACCAATCAGATGCCGGCGTCTACGAGACCTTTTTGGATGGCAGAGAACAGGACAGAACACACGCCATTGCCAGACTCATCGTCACAAGTCCGTAATATTTTTATATTCATCTGTGTTGGTAGACCAGGTAGTTACATGTCAAAACATTTGGTCCGACACAAGAAACCCAGTGTTGACGTCACACTTCAGAGAATCCCACGTGACAAGTATCACTGGGTCAGTCTATAGAAGAAGACCAGAGTGACTGGTTGAAAGCTCTAGGTGAGAGCAACCCTAGGTTGGTGTTGGAACTAAAGTGTTAACTTTAAACAACATTTCTATAATGTTTTGTTTGCTTCATTGTTTGTAGGCTGTAACGCGTCGATTTCGTACAAGTGAACAAGCAATAATTAACATCTGTGTCTATAATGTCACCAGGGTCCATAATATCGCAACCTTGAGAAATAGTGTGCTTAAAGATATTTTTGCTGCAACATACCCTAGGTATGTACATTTGATGTGTGAAGGAGTGCATACCAAAAGTACGTTGCAGTAAAAATACCTTTAAGCACACTGTTTCTCAAGGTGGCGATATTATGGACCCTGTTGATATTATGGACACAGATGTTATATAATTATACAGACGCACAAACCCACCGCTAAGAATACTTTTGTTCTAAGAAGTAACGAAGATATATTGTTCCAGGGTGTCCAGATAGTTTCTGGGGTCCCGGCTGTGACCAGACGTGTCCGAAGTGCTATAACGGCGGAGTCTGTCATGAGGATCTCGGGGAGTGCATCTGTCCTCCCGGGTTCAAGGGGACGACCTGTGAGACCGGTCAGTACACATTTACAATGGTACAATTCTTTGTGTATCTACTATCTTGTATCTCATTAACTGGAAAATTCGTTTTCCACAAAGATACCTGACATGGTGACGGCACACTTATAAGTTTTTCAAACTTATATTTATGCCACCACCAACGCAGACAAACGCACAGACAACAGTCATATTCCTTTTAAATGTGGGGAAATTCGTGTTAAGTCCCAAGGGCACAAGATCGGTGGCATGGCAGGGTTAAAACCCGGGACCTCTAGGTTCCAAGGCAATTACACTTTACCGTTACGCCACACGACCCCACGTCTAGCGTTTACCCTAATCTCCAAGCAGATCTTTCGGTGGCAAGACAATATCCATTGGCCAGAGGAGTGTCCATTAGCCACCGAAGTTGGGAAATGGATACAGGACGGCCAATGGATACAGGACGGCCAATGGATACAGGACGGCCAATGGATACAGGACGGCCAATGGATACGGTCTATTGCCACCCAACCGAAAGATCTGCTTGGAGATTACGTTTATCCCTGAAATGCAAACCGTTGTTCCAGGCTGCGGCGGGAACAGTTTCGGCAGAGACTGTCAGTACGAGTGCGACGCGAACGGTCTGGCGGCCGGGTGTAAGGAGCGGATCTTCTGCCTGCCGGACCCGTACGGCTGCAGCTGCTCCCCGGGGTACCGAAACCTGCTCTGCTCCACGCGTAAGTGCATTTATGTTTACCGAAGGAAAACATATTGTTTTTGCTCAGTTTCTTCTTCCTCTTCTTCAACCTGCTCTGCACCACGCGTGGGTGCATTTATGTTTACCGAAGGAAAACATATTGTTTTTTCTCAGTTTCTTCTTCCTCTTCTTCTCCAAACATTCACCTCAGTGACCTGACACTGAACGGTTATTTGTATCTCGTGAGTCTTATTCAAAATCACAATTGACGCAATTGGTTTACACAAATAAACCATTCATTCATTCATTCATTGGTTCCGTCACATATACCTCGAGGCCTGCCCGCCTTAGACCAAGGCCTCCCCCCCCCCCCTAAAGTGCCCCATCAGGGGCTATATGGGGGTGTAGCCGGGGCTCACATAACATCTTTGAGCCCCGGCAAAGATGAAGATGAAGAAGATATACCTACTACAAGACCTAGAGGTCGAAAGTTTGTGTTTGTTGGAGATGGTATCTTTGTCTCTCTTTCCTCCAGTTTGTAGTTAATTGTTGAGTGTTTAACTGTATTTGTTCAAATATTTGAATGTTACACTGTGTTTAAGAGATTGCATCTTTGTCCCCTGTGCCCGCAGCCTGTCTCCCCGGCTCGTTCGGAGCGGGATGTACGCAGACCTGCCACTGCCGCAGCATCGGCCCAAACGCCTGCGACGTGTACACCGGCTGGTGTCGGGACGGCTGCGCCAAGGGGTGGAAGGGACCGTCATGTCAGGAGGGTAGGACGGCGGCATTTGATACTTGATAAAGCTTTCATCGCCAAAGGTTATGTTTTCGGCAGCATTCGTCTCTCTCTTTGTCTCTCCCCTCTCTCTTTCTCTCTCTCTCTCTCTCTCTCTCTCTCTGTGTGTGTGTGTGTGTGTGTGTGTGTGTGTGTGTGTGAGAGAGAGAGAGAGAGTGGAGAGTGTATGTCTGTGTGTGTGTGTGTGTCTCTCTCTCTGTGTCTGTGTGTGTGTGTCTTTGTGTCTAAATATGATAACTCAAAAAACAGTTTTCATGGATTATTTTGATATTTGGTAGGTGGAGAGACCTCAAATCTTAATGATTAGATTTTGGGCATCCTAGCAGCTTGTTATGGTACTGCAGCGGAAGTTACATATCTCGTGATCTGGACGTGCTAACAAAGCTTAACCATCTTGCAGAGGACATTGACCACTGTGACCCTGACCCGTGTGAAAATGGCGGCGTGTGTCACGGCACGGAGGAAACATACAGCTGTGAATGTCCGGATGGGTTCGAAGGTCAACATTGCGAAATCGGTAAGCATAAACATGTACTTATTACATACTACAATTTAGTACAAGGTAGACATGGTGATTTCACAAAAATAAACGCCATCGTACGTATAATTTAAACGTTGTAGCGTATCTATTGAAATCTGTTTATTTCATATTATGTTTTATGAAAGAAAAAAAAAAGAGACGTTAGGTTCTACCGAGATTTGAACTCGGATCGCTGGATTCAGAGTCCAGAGTGCTAACCATTACACCATAGAACCTCGACAAGGGTTTGACATTACGGCAAACACTTGCTCCACTGTACATGCCATGTACGTACAAGGTATTGTGCAATATAGGATAGCCGACCGACCAGACAAAAAAAATTGTTCATCCCCTGCCTGCCGGTAACAACAGTAGGAAAGATGTAAAAACATACTTGAGTACCTAAAAGGCTATGAGGTATTCAAAAGATAAGGGAATACTATGCCAGTTAAAAGTCAACAAAAGTTTTAGGTTCTACCGAGATTTGAACTCGGATCGCTGGATTCAGAGTCCAGAGTGCTAACCATTACACCATAGAACCTGTTCCTATCTACCGCAATCAATTTAGACGTCTCTAATTGAACGAAAGTACGACGGTTCATGATTGACGTTAACATTCTTTGTACATGCTATGAGTTATGTTTGGCATCTTGGACTTTGATCAAAGACACTACATAATGTTATTCTCTGACTTTAAGTAGATCTACAAGTAGTTTCAACTTCTCAACAGACCTAAGTCAGGTTCAGATGTGCCCTATTGTGAAATCTCAGTTTGATCTACAATACAGAACAAATAAAAAATTTGCCCTCCGTTTGTATCACAGACCTAGACGAGTGTGAGTCCTGGCCTTGTCTCAATGGCGGCGCCTGCTTTGATGTCCCAGGAAAGTACGTGTGCGCATGCGTGGACGGATACACTGGAACCAATTGCGAAGAAGGTGACTTGATTTTTTCCATCAGTGATGATCTAAATCACTTATGGACATCTTTTGGTGGGACTAATTGTCAGTAAGGAAGAAGAGTTCTAATACATTTTTCATTAATTTCTGTCCAATGTTATCATTACATTTATGTTTTGTACTGTTTTGCCCTCTGAACAGAATGTCTAACACTTAGCTGGAATGATCTGAAGCTTTAAGAGTACAATAATCTTTTTTTACAGTTGATGTGTATTGACTTCATGCCAAGTTGTCTCTTATATTGTTTTTAATGTTAATTTTCAGTGTATCTATCTTTTGCTTGTTTGGCATGTAGCGTTGTATAAATGTAGGACCTGGACCACGGGAAAAATAGCAACTATTTATGCAAATTGTGGATCCAAATATACTCAAACTCATATTGTTATGATTTGTTGTTTACTCAGATATAGACGAGTGCTCCTCGTCCCCGTGTCAAAACAACGGCGTGTGCGTGCACGGTCTGGACGAGTTCAAGTGCGAGTGTCTGAGGGGGTTCTTCGGGCCACGCTGTGAAGTCGGTCAGTGCTACACCTGCATGACGTTTGTTTCAAAGGCATCCAATGGAATTTCTGGGCTGTAATGTGCTACAAATTCAACTTCAGTAAATTTCAAATAAATTTCCTCATCCAAGATATTTTGGTTTTCATTTGCCGCCATGAAAATGCATTGGATGCCTTTGGATTGGATGCCTATTTCGGAAAAAAAGACCAGGGTCGTGATGCCTTTGTTTGCCGATATCCTGTATTTGCTATTGCTCGTATTTTACTATGTTTAAAGTAAAAAAAGGAAAAGTTTGTATGTTAGGTTCTACCGAGATTTGAACTCGGATCGCTGGATTCAGAGTCCAGAGTGCTAACCATTACACCATAGAACCTCGACGAGAGCAGTAGATGTCCCTAGACAATTTGCTTCAATATATGCGTTATGTGGTCATTTACGGAACTTGATTTGATTTGTAATACAAGCCATTGCTGTTTTCTTGACATCATATACATGCAACTTATTTGAAGACATTTACAAATTATCGGTACGCAAATCATCCGTCACCTGCTTTTGCCTTGAGAAGCAGGCCATGACGTTATAGTGATCAATATGATACAGGTCTGTTTTATCTAATTGACAACAACTATTGCCGAGTTAGATATTCCGGTGTTTTCTCAGATCTGAACGAGTGCACGTCTAGCCCGTGTAGAAATAACGGCACGTGTGTGGACCTGCCGGGGGCGTACAGGTGCGACTGTCCGCACGGCATCATGGGAAACAACTGCGAATATGGTAAGACTGTTCACAAGTTAGGATCTTCACCTTTGACCATGATCCTAATCTCCAAGCAGATCATACGGTGGCAAGGCAGTAGTTGGCCACCGAAGGTTAATGGACACTCCTCTAGCCAATGGATTCTGCCTTGACACTGTATGATCTGCTTGGAGATTACTAGTACATGAACCGTAGTCTCCACCAGACTGCACAGACAAGCTGGACCCTCTATGGCCGGCCAACTCCCCTTTAGCCGATTTCTACTATTTATACAGCCTGCAAAGGAGTCTGGTGGAGACTACATGAACCGGCTTATGGCCACAGAACACAGTATTAATTGGTGACCCCCGGGGTCTATGACGCGGGTATACAAAGTAGTTAGGACAAGATGCTTGAAGCCTGGATAGAATATGTTATGTGAGAGGTAGACAGAGGTAACTGCGCTGTGTAGTATAGAATTATTATTTTTCTAATTCTACCAATACTCAAACATATCAGCTTTACGCTAATGCACCCTACTTTAATTTTTACCACGTCGAAGTAACTATAGAAATCCCCATATGGCGAAAACTGTGTTCTGCTACCTTGTTGGCAATCTTCTGAACCATACTTGCACGTTTATTTTCCCCAGACGTGCTCCCCTGCCTGTCGGAACCCTGTTTGAACGGCGGAAACTGTTCGGCGTTTGGAGACCTCTACATCTGCTTCTGCGCAGAAGGGTTCTACGGGCGGAACTGTGAGAACGAACTACCCGGCCAGTCTGAAGGTCAGGTCGTTTTTTTATCAACATTTCTTCATAAAGAAAGAGACAAGGACAATTTGACAACGCCAGTGATGGTAGTTTTGTCAGCTCATCATATATTAGTATACTAGTATTCACTATTGTGACATGCTTGATACAAGCAAAGATACTGAAGTATGTAGTACTAGTATATATTTAACAGAACCAGATGAAATAGAATGTGCAACGGTAACAGTAAAGCTTGCAACACTGAAAACTTTACCTCGATAATATAGATACACAGTTTGCTTGATACAAGCAATGGATACAAGCAATGGTAGAACTGATCGTTTTAACGTTAACAACCACATAGTTCTTTAGCAAGGTTTTGAAAAGCTACCTGTTGCAAAAAAAAGATAAATTAGTAAGTTATGATCTTCGATTATCTTTCCTAACATTATAATCTCTTTACTAAATATTGTGCCATTCCACAATATTGAGCTCGATTGTCAATAACTGCACAGTGATATTGATGCGTTCTAATCCTTTGGTAGCACTAGACAGCTCGCTTATTAACATAACAAGCAGTGCTTTTGCATCCTAATGATCTAATCTTTCAACAATTAAAAGTCTACGTTTAATTTCCCCGCACCCTTAAGCTTAACGCACGATATGTGTAGTCTATTTTCTTCACAGCCCCTCATTTGAAATGATTGGTCCCTAAAACCAAGCAAAGCTAGCGATGTCTTCCTCTGTTTAGTATTACTGAACCGTCCCTTGATTGCATCAAGCAATGTATGGGTTCTTCAAACACAAATAGTTATGTCTTTAGGGTTTTCCTTTCATAACTCTTTCCTATAGCAGCCCAGACAAATATAAATTTCCAGCAGCATAAACAGCATAGATAGGTTTAACGTCATAGGGGCGTCCTTACGTTTTAGTAACTACTGTACTATATTAGCAAACGTTTTGGTGTTCAATTCCCCTATCACTTTGTATGTAAACGAAAGTCAAAATTTAAGTTGATCATAAGATAAAAAGAAACATTAAGAAAGTTAAGAAAACAACGAAGATGAAAGAAAACACGATACTGGGAAAAGACAGATAACAAGAAAATGAACAGGTGGAAAACCTTTCCTTTTTTACACAAATAAACCAAATGTAGTATTTTCCCGCCAATATTGCGTGCTGCTATAACTAGTGTTTATCCACATTTTAATGACAGTAGATCTTGCAATCAATCTATTTTCCTTGGTCAAAGTGTCCTTAATATGACCAAGTCTGTATTCCTCCTTCATATGACCTGTCTCATTGCAAGTCGTCCTTACACACTGGTGTGTTTATATGATTGCCTGTAAACGCTTTGCAACATACAGGACTTCCCACGCGTTATGCTAAAGTCACATTTTCAAACCGGGGCCCGGTCGGGCTGTTTGTGTGAATGAAAAAATAAACGTTTCATATCAAGAATATACAGAAATGGTGCTCATGATTACTTTTCTTCAACATTTTTTTTTTTCGTTCTGTTGCTTTTTATGTCTACCGAAGAAAAACATATTGTTTTTGCTACGTTTCCTCTTCTCCAAACGAATGACTTGAACCAGATTGTCTGTTACCATGGTAAACAGTGTTGGGTTACATCATGTTGCAATTTTATAGCAGGAGGGATTTAGACTCCTGTCTGACCATATGCGATGGTAAACGTCATGCATTCGCTTTGCAAATGTTACCTTTCCAGATATTTCATAGTTTCGTTCATGCAAACTGCCCGGCCGGGCCACGGGTTGTCGATTGTGACCTTAGCATTATGCGGGGTGAAACTCCTTGATGTAGTTTATAAGTCGCGACGGCAACTTCAGCTTGTCACAGTCCTCCGCCTCCTGGACACACGCGGAGATCACCGCCCGGCACCTGTCCTGCAGTGACGGGTACTCCCGCTTGGTGGCGCCTAGCACCATCTCCGTCTTCGCGGCTGTAGACGCGATCATAGGGAACAGGTCCCCTTCGTACTTCTCCAGTCCTTTGAACGCTTCCCCGAGGCATTTCCCATCCCTGTAGTACGTCAGGGTGCCCTTGCAGTACAGCAGCCCCACGGTGGTCGGCGTGTTTTCGGCGAACGGTTCGGCGAAGGGTCTGTCGACGCCCTTGTGCCAGAGGATGCCCTTGTGGTTGAGGCCCCAGCTGTGCTCGTTCTCTCCAAGGACGTTGATGAAGTCGTAAAGATTCACCCGCGTCTTCGAGCTGCCGATTCCGAACATCATGCTGGTGCCGAATAGGCGGTCAGAAACCTGCAACGTAGGTAGAAGGCATCGTTTGTTTAGGTTTATTTGTTTGTTTGTTCGTTTGTTTGCCTGTTTGTTTCATCATGCTGGTGCCGAATAGACAGTCAGAAACCTGTGATATAAGTAGAAGGTATTGTTTGGTTGGAGTTTAATTGCTGTTTGTTTGTTTGTTTGTTTGTTTGTTTGTTTCTTTGTTGGTTTGTTTGAACCATTCTTTATTCATGAGAAGCTGAAATCAGATTAAGGCTCATACGAACCACTCACATGTATTAAGTTGCAAAAATGACTGTAAAGACATTTTTATATTAGTCTTGAAAAGTTACAGGTTATACCAAGGTCATTATATCTATCTTCTGTATAATGTCCTTGGTTGTACCTATTTGGAAAGCATCCACTAGGAAGCCTGTGTTGTAGAGGAATAAAAGAAGCTTTCAGTGAATTACGAAGGTGGGGCCTTAAATTGCAATGGAAAGCTCCTCACCCTGATTTCCCAGTAGTGCACGCCGTTCTTGTCGATAGGTTTGGTAGCGCGCACGGCCACGGTGCCCCGCGACCAGGTGGGGTGGAATATCACGGTCCGGTTCCTGATGCCCCCCAACTCCAACTGGGCGAAGTCCTGCTCCAATTCCTGCTCCTCCCACGACCACACGTCGTTACACAGACCCTCTAGTCCCGCCGGCATGGTGGTCGGTTTGGGGACGATATCTTCTCGCGTCATTGTCTCTGGCACCTTCGTAAACATGAGAGAAAAGCGTTCATTAAGGTTAAAACTTCAATAGTATATTTGTCAATTCAGATGGTGACGCAAAGCCAGTGGCCCTATATCTGTATCTGTAGCTTTAGGTGTTAGCCTAAAAGAGCTAGCCTCTACCGGGCGACAGGAAAGTGCAGAAATTGGTCAAATAGACAGATAGAATGTCAGAGGAGTCGGTCCATTATTAAGAGTACAGATTGCTACTCCTTAGCGGACCAACTCCCCTAGCCTGCTATATGTCTATTTGACCGATTTCTACTCTTTCCGCCGCTTCTTGAAGCCTGGTACAGGCTAAAAAGAGCGGCAGTATATTGTGTGTGTAAATACGCAATATGTCTTTTCCGCCCTACCTTTATCTTGGCAATGGAGTCAACAGTCGTGGAGAGCCAGGTACTAGTCCCCACATAGTATGTCCGCGTTTCCACTAACGCCATAGTCTTAACACCAACCACCGCCTGTCTGTGTTATAGAGTGGAGGTTAGAACAGTTTAGCCAGGTTAACATTCTCTACGGGCCGGCTTAGGGGTGTTTTACCGGCCCCAGTCTAAATACACACACACACACACACACACACACACACACAGGTAGTTACGATCTACATAGGCTACTTCAATATTACATATCAAAAGGTGTACCATGTGTTTGTTTTATAGATTGTAGTTATGGTTGAGTACGAAAACGGGTACATTCTGCATGGATTACACACATGTGAACAGGTTGAACGACATAATCCTTTAGCTCCCGGGCATACGCGTACGCGTACACTCGCTCACCCCATTCTATTGTTTTTCACTTCTGTATTTCATACACGTCCAGTGTTTCTTTTTGGTTGACATTCCGCTTTTTTACGGCGTTTGGGGTCATAAAAAGAAATGTTGAATTGTCTGTAAGTATTTTGAATTGGTACACGTCTGTAACGAAGTGGTGGGCTTTACTGACCGTTTTAAACTGCAGATGCAGACCCTGTACTAGCCTAGGGCTAGGTAGGTATCACGCCAGGTGACCCGTCAAAACAATGCACGCAGACCAACAGACAATAACCAGTGGGGGAAAGTTGTGTCTACCAGACTCTAATATACTCGTTTGCCAGTAGATTTCTCCAAATAGACTGAATGATTTGCATTATTAGCGTTTACATTGAACTGCCAGTCACTAAATTAGTGACATTATGTGTGTAAATTGGCCGCCATTGTTGCATTCACCAAAACAATGCACGGTAGATTGGGCTACGAAAACAAGGCTTTCCGCTAAAAAAAGCTCCGGGCCTTTGTTCACAGAAAGGTGAGGTCAAAACAAGGACAGAAGGCCTTCAGCCTAGATAAACGACAAGGGGGCAAAAATTGACATCAATGTATAAACACATTGACATATGCAGTTATCTGTTCGTTTTTCTATAGTCAGCCTAACTTAAAATTGTAACTATAGTACTAGAATATGGATTCCTGAGTACTTCTTTTTCTTCTTTTTTCCATAGGCGACCGCCTTCGACTTGCTGAAGATTATGTCGCCGTGTCAATACATTTGTACTTACTATTGGTCGTTGTTATGACAAGTAAAGGAGAACAAAAGGCATTAATTACCTCCTTGATTAATCTTAGCATGACAATTGATTCTGTTCCGTGATGTTTTCAAATAGTATAAGGTTTTTAACATTTTCCTCTGTCTTTTGGTAAGTCTGTGTTGTTCCACCTTTAATATTGTTATCACAAGGAGGTTTAAATAAAGATAAAATCCTCCTTGGTTATTATAATCATGATAAGAGACAGCGTTATATAGGGAACGGAAGCGAACGTAGATCTTAATTTGTGCACACGTGCGTAACGAAATGTGTCTCAATCACTCTCATGCAAAATGGCCATGGATGATGAATAAACAAATTTTGCATCCTTGAACCAAATGCTTGAACAACGTGTTATGAAGGTCATGTAAAATAGGGTGGGAGGGGGGTTCCTACAGCAGCAAATACAATCTATTCCTCCTACTCCTAGATTGCGGTTACAACAAACAAAAGAGTCAGACTGTACGTAATAACATCATCACCCACATTCGAGCCAGTTACGTAAGTGAGACACAATCAAATATTTATGCGACAGGACCATTGTTCCATAATTTTTTTAGTGACAAGACAAAATGGTTGGGTCTTAAATCTCACGCAATTTACCGAATAACGTAGCCAAAGAAACGTACACTGCTTAGCCGAAAATATGGGAATTTATTACGTTCACAAACATCGCTGCGTTGCGGTCAGACTGAATTGAAAGGTCACAATAATCAGTAAGAAAACTGGTTTGAACCAGTATAAACTGCATGGGTGCTGTTTTTCTACCTCCATAGGTGGACGCAGGTCATGTTACGACCTTACGATATATTTGGTAAATTGGTAACAATACATAAGTAATACATAATTCCAATGGCCATATAAAGGTATAATACACATACCGTATTTTCCACAGCAATGGGTCGAGAGATGATGTTTCTTGTTAAGTCGACGCCCAGATTGGATAAACCTGACAGGGGGAGAAATTTACTACTAGCGGGTTCACAGCAGAACAATGGCCCAAGATGTCCGTATTTCAATTCTTCTCGGTTCTCCGTCGCATTCCACCCTAGCGCCACACTCTATCCACCCCGGCTGTCGTTCTTCGGTGGTCAGAACATTTTGGGAATTCTAGACGACCCTGCTGGCACCAAGGACGTATAAATCCGGGTTATTTGATGTTTTAATGCACCGTTCTGCCTTCCTGTACACAAAGGATTTACGTAGGGTGTGTTTACATCCGTGGGATGTTCCATTCAAGGATCATGTGGGTGAGGCTGGAAATGTTCAGTTTTAGGTCTTATCATTTTTGAATGCCTATTTACCACGCCTATACAATATATCTTTTATTCATTATTTATATCTTTTATTATGATATTTTCAGTCATTATCAATAGGCAGTAAAAAAACATGAATCACACTTTGGCTGTACACCCCCGTAACCTGAAAATGGCCAGCTCCAGCATTGCGTCATGCTTTCACCCGGAAGTGTTATTAGTGACCTGCAGGACACTTTGGCGGGAAATTTGAATACTGAACTGAGAGGCAGAATACTAGTTCTGTATTAGGCATCCTACTCATGCTAGAACTTCTGATCAGGACTTTTGCGAGAAAAGTTGTAGGATGACATTCTTTTCACTTTTCCTACCAACTAAAAGTTAATAATAGATAGATAAAGTTGATATTGATAATGATACAATCATGTAGATAGATCATTTTTGGTTTCACCAAGGACATTGGTTTCAAATAAATCAGAACTTGAATGGTACACAAAATTATGTTGTACAAGGCAAATATCAACGGTGTATATCACTACTCTCCAAGCAGATCATACGGTGGCAAGGCAGTATCCATCGGCCCAAGGACATTATACACAGAGTATAATGTCCTTGATCGGCCAGAGGAGTGTCCATTAGCCACCGAAGATCTGCCACCAGATGCTGGCCAATGGATACAGTCTGGCTAATGGATACTGTCTGGCCAATTTGATACTGTCTTTTGCGGCCACCGAAATAAATATCTGCTTGAAGATTATACCCCCCCCCCCGTGTACACTATATGACATCCAGTAGATTCTAGCGGGAACCAATCATAGGGCTGCTGACGCGTCACCGACTAGCGGCTATTAGCACCTTGTTTCATGTAAATGCCATGAACTCAACCAGAGCGCGTGTATTGTTTCTTGTTTACATCAGTACTAAGTACTAGTCCTTCCACAATCAGTTAGTAAAGTCATACCTTTGTAAAATCTACTTTGATGAACGAATCAAAACGGGACTGTAGACATTAAATTTTACACATTCAAATGTGGCTGCACTTGCGCTAATGGAGCGACCACTACGTACGGGAAGGAACGGATCTTAGCGAAGCCGAGATTTGTGAACCAAACCCAACCCATCGAAGACGGGCCGCCAAACATAGAAATGGAGGGAAATGACAGACAACAAGCCAACAAAGACAACATCACCAGACCAACAAACTTGGAAAACACCACTTCAACGTTGTAAGAACTGTGGAACCTCAAACTAGTATGTTTGCGTCAGCGGAAAGGCTGTCGAAGCATGGGCATGGAGGTTTTTTTACCTCCATGGTCGAAGTAACCACTACATGAAAAACTGCGGCGAAAAAGTAACATGGGTTCGTCCCAAATCTAGACGCAAGTGAGCTACAAAAGTAATAGAACCTATGCATCTATGCACCTATGCATAGAACCGATACATGTACGTACCATAACTTGCCATACCCGGCCAAAGACGACTACATTACTGTTACTCTTTATTTTGTGCTGTATAATGTATATGCGTTACATTATCTATCATTGTCATTTCTGTGAATTCCTTAAAACATCTACTGTTAGTTTATGTAACATTACGTAGTGCTACAATCTGCGTAAAAAGTGGGCTTCATTACGTGTTATCTGCTAAGTCGTGTTGGTATTGAAAACTGTTTTATTTTGCCGTTCTTCTACAAACAGCCAGCAGAATTATGAAGATACTCGTTCTCAATACACATGCTGCAAACTAAAGTAATGGCAGTCCTACGAAAATTCTGTTTGTAATGTATAAGCGCTTTATGTCGACGTACAATGGGTGTGAAATACATGTTTTCGCCCATCGTGTGCCACCGGCTCCGTGGTAATTGGCTACTTTACAAGTGAAAGAACCGCGTCCGTGGGCCTTGATAAATTATTCAAATTATTCAGCAGCCCTCTGATTGGTCCCCGCTAGAAATTTACTGGATGTCATTCAGTGACGAGCCCCCCCCCCCCCTTCTTTTGCTATCTGAGTAATTAGTTGATTGAGTAGATAGGGGCTATAGATAGGCCGAATGGGAGGGAAGGGGAAATGAGATGTCCCAAGGGAACGCCAGATGGCGCGTCTGTTACAACTTCCTAAAGTCACAGCGGGTGCAATCATCACCTCCAAATGGTTCGGGGTCGTTCTTTGTCCAATTTAGGGCTGGAGTCACCATACCAAGAATTTGTACAAGTTAGCGTAGAAGAACTTAAGAGGCCTACGTATACATGCCCAGGTTCACACGTCTGTCCTACCGTAGTACAATATTCTTTTTACGACAACGTCCATTGCAAGGGGCTCCCTTTGCCCCACAGAATCTGCTTGTAGATTATGTGTGAAATGGACATTGTCATAGTTGTCAAGAAATTTGCAAATAATATTTCACGGAGCAAGGACGTTCTATCATGATTGAACGATCATTGCACGAAGGTATATTATTTAAAGACTATCGGTTTCTTGTTTAACATTTAGGCATGGCTGCGTGGGATTATTGTCATTGACCGCAGGTGACCCCTAATGGAATACACGTTCGGTTCGAATTATCCAGATCTAACATAGCTCGAGTTCTATTTCCATTGTTTTGATAGTTTATTTTTCTTTTCTCTTCGCCTCAGGTCCAACTTCCGGCGAGGCACAAAACGACGCATTACCCATCATGCACATCGTGCTGGCAGGTGTGGCCGGTCCCGTCGTCCTCATCACGCTTTTCCTCCTCTACAAATTCTACGAAAAACTCAAGAAGAAACACAAGACTAAACAGGTGGACGTCAAGCCGAAATCTTCCGCCGACCAGGACTCAGTAGTTCCCGTAGAGTCCACGAACTCGTCCACCAACCTTCTGGAACCTACGAATCCTCTGGACGTAAAGAAGGACCAACAGTTCATCAACACGTTACAGAGACCTGTAGCGAACGGAGGGCGGCCATCTTTTAGACCGATCCAGTTGGTAGCAGCTTTTCCTGGGGCCGCTCAGAGACCCGCCATAACAGTCAGTCCACTCGAAAGTGCGTCTGAAAATAACACGACCCTTGTTACATCATTCCAACAAGATGGCGGGAACAACGCAACTAGCCTTGCTGTTCCTACGTCATCGTTTCGCGCGCAAAATTCTTCCCATCGGCCCACATCGGGTCACGCCATCACACTCCCATCAGTCCTTGCGCAGAGGAAGCCCGCCACTGCGCAGACGACACCGACGGAAACCATGGTAACCGACTTCAACGATGACGACTTTGACGACGAATCTGAATCAGAATTTGACGATGACGTGGACGAAGAGACTGTATATTCATGACGAATGGACGATTGGATAGAATACACCGTAAAGATGTATCAATCTTATTCTGACGACAAAGTAACGGAAATAGGAGCAACATATTTTGGACTGACCATAGATTCGAAATATCACATCTCATTGACAGATATTCCGATTGACTTAACTTTTATTTACTTTCAGTTACTTTACTCTCTTGCTCACTCTGGTCTGATTCTATATTTAACAAACCTATTTACTAACGCATCTCGGAATGACCGTGTGTTCTTCATGCATTCAACGTTGCAACTACTAAACGACAATAGACTAACATATGTTTGACTCAAGAGTAACCTACTAACATTTGTGTTTGGTAACAGACTAACAAACTAACATTGTGTTTGCATGGGGTATATACTAATCACACTACATCTAGTAACATGGTACTAGTAACTAACCAATATATCTTATTGCCAATAACTAACGTATTATTTAGTCCCATCTATGTGGGACCGAGAACAAACCAATTAACTAACAAACGCCTAGCACATGTCTACAATAACAAAATGAATGGATATGCTGACTAGAGAGCGAACTAACCAACTAAAATACATAATACATGTACTAACGAAAACTATCAGTCCTACACGACGTATCAGATGGTAGTGATGCATAATGACTAACAAACTTATAATTACCAACTGAGCAAGGTACCGATGAACAACATTTCATCTATAACCATTGCTTACTTGACTAACAAGTATGTACTAACGTATACAGTAAACCAGTACCAAGGCACAGCTAACGCTTGTACTGTCAACCAACGACTAACAAACGTACTGACTGACTAATAATGTTTCTGTTCTACGGACTTTTACTTTATCCTGACTGGTTTACGGACTAGTAACGTTCTTACTTCCACCCGACTGATAACTGACTGACTGACTGACTTCTTGCTTCCACCCGACTGATAACTGACTGATTGACTGATAATGTTCCTTCCTCCACCCAACTGATAACCGGCTGACTGATGATGTTCTTACCTCCACCCGACTGATACTGACTTACCGACTGACACTGACTGATAACGTTATCTCTATCCGACTGATAACCGACTGACTGACTGACTAATAACGTTCTTACCTAGCCTCCACCCAACTGATAACATGACTTACTGACTGACTGATAACATTACTAGGTCCGTCACCTAACTGATAACTGACTTTATGACTGACTGACTGCGTTCTTACCTCCACCCGACTGATAACTGCATGACTGAATGACCGATGAGGTCCCCACCTCCACCAGACTGACAACTGACTACACTGACTGACTGACTTCGTTCTTGATTCCACCCGACTGATAACTCACTTACTGACTGATAATGTTCTTAACCTCCACCCGACTGATAACCGATTGACTGATAATGTTCTTACCTCCACCCGACTGATAACCGACTGACTGATAATGTTCTTACCTCCACCCGACTGATAACCGATTGACTGATAATGTTCTTACCTCCACCCGACTGATACTGACTGACTGATAACATTCTTACCTCCACCCGACTGATAACTGACCTACTGACTGACTGATAACATTCTTACTTCCACCCGACTGATAACTGACTTACTGACTGACTGATAACATTCTTACTTCCACCCGACTAATAACTGACTGACTGACAGACTGATAACTTTCTTACTTCCACCCGACTGATAACTGACTGACTGACTGATAACGTTCTTACCTCCACCCGACTGATAACCGACCGACTGACCGATAATGTTCTTACTTCCACCCGACTGATAACGTTCTTACCTCCACCCGACTGATACCGACTTACCGACTGACTGACACTGACTGATAACGTTATCTCTACCCGACTGATAACCGATTGACTGACTGACTGATAATGTTCTTACCTCTACCCGACTAATAACTGACTGACTGACTGATAACATTACTAGGTCTCACTCTGTCACCTAACTGATAACTGGCTTTATGCCTGACTGACTTCGTTCTTACCTCCACCCGACTGATAACTGACTTGCTGACTGACTGATAACATTCTTACTTCCACCCGACTGATAACTGACTTGCTGACTGACTGATAACATTCTTACTTCCACCCGACTGATAACTGACAGACTTACTGATAACATTGTTACTTCCACCCGACTGATAACTGACTTACTGACTAACTGACAACGTTCTTACTTCTACTCTACTGATAACGGACTGACTGACCGATAACGTCTTCTCCAACTGACTGATAACTGACTTATTGACTGACTGATAACATTCTTACCTCTAGCCTGACTAAATCGCGCTCCTGGCGGCCGCCGCCCTAGGTGGGGTGGGGGTCATTAACGTCCAGCCGAGAGCTTGTATACACAGGCTATCTTACCTCCACCCGACTGATAACTGACTGAATGACCGATGACGTTCTTACTTCCACCCGACTGATAACTGAGTGACTGAGTGACTGACTGAATGAATGATAACCGACCGACTGACTTATAACGTCCTTACCTTCACACGACTGATAAACGACTGACTGACTGATAACATTCTTAACTCCATCCGACTCATAACTGACTTACTTACTGACTGGCTGGCTGACTGATAACGTTCTTACGTTCACCCGACTGTAAACTGACTTACTGACTGACAGACCGATAACGTTCTTACCTCCACCCGACTGTTAACTGACTTACTGACTGGCAGACCGATAACGTTCTTACCTCCACCCGACTGATACTAGTACTAGTAACTGAATGACGTTCTTACCCCCTTCAACTCATAACTGACACTCTGACTGACTGACTGGCTGACTGACTGACTTCGCTCTTACTTGCACCCGACTGATAACTGACTGACTGACTGATAACTTTCTTACTTCCACCCGACTGATGACTGACTTACCGACTGACTGATAATGTTCTTATCTCCACACGACTGATAACTGACTTATCGACTCATTAATAACGTAATCATATTCACCCGACTGATAACTGACTTACTGACTGATAACGTTCTTACCTCCACCCGACTGATAACTGACTTACTGACTAACAGACGGACTGACTAACAGACAGACTGACTAATTGACTGATAACTAACTGACTAGCTTATAATTACTGATACGTTTTTACCATATTAGTACAAACTACTTTACTTTTCTTCATCATATTTACATTGACATAGTAATAACATTGTTACATGTGTACGTGGCTAAGCTTGTGTGACGAAAAATTCTTCAATAAATGTACTGAGCTATAGAAGCCTCCCCTACAATGTTTTTGTTGTTGTTGTTGTTGATTTCATCTCAAGTGACGTTAACAGAACGCCACAGAAGTCACGGGACATTGTGTAGGTGCAAACATGTGATGCAGTTCAATGACATTCCGGTAGATGTCTAAACGGTTAAATCAAATGTTCCCGCTTTTTTTGTCAGATACTTTTTGTCAACAAGACAACTTAAGTTTGAAAAATACCCATTGTACGACAAATGCATGTGTGACCGGACCCGACGAATTGGTATTCACTATATAGTGTCCCTTTCTTTGACTTTGCAAGCTCAGCGTAGTACAGAAAAAATACAAGACATATATGGCTCACCCTCCCCTAAAATGGATATGCAACAATACTACTATTGACAAGACGTCCAACAAGTATACATTCCCAACCTTCTGTTAACTCGTTCACCGTTATTAAACAAACTAATAACTATCGGAAGGGTGAATAACCTCCTGCCCCTCCCCCTACCACATCCACAGTCAGTACATTGTTGTTGTCTGACTATTTTAGACGTTGCATCATGTACCCAGTACTGTTTAAATCTGTTCACACGTGAAATCGCAAAAGGCGTTCCCCCACCGGTAGTTCCACACCTGCTTTTATGAGCCAGCGGACGAGGTGTGTGTAACGTTATAATTGGACAGATTATCGTACAAACTGTATTATATGCTGAATAAAGAGTCCAAATTTAACACTTTTTATTTTCACCATTAAAAGATAATAGAATCGCAAAAGGAAGGCACTCTTGGAATGGTGATGCGAATTTCAGCTGTCTAAAAATGCTGCCTTATATTCTGTCTTATGTGACTGGTTTTCTCACAGCCTGCTTGAAAATTCTACGGTATCAAAATTCTTTCGACGAATATGGCCACAACATATAGACATTGCGATACTACAGGGTGGGCTTTGAGTCTTTACTGTAAAATGTTACTTTTTGCCGTTATATCACTTGAAATCATGTCGAGATGCTACATTATGAATACGGCTAAGTCCCAGCAAGATGGTTACTCAGTAAAAAATCTCAAACTGTATCCGCTATATACTTCACATTCTTTTGTTTTGACCTCCACATAGCGGCTCAACTAAGCACAAAATTGCACTGGATACCGAGATTTGCAGGCGTGAAGCAAATGTAAGGATACGGATAAGTCTCAATGTTTTACGCGTAACATTTCATTCATCTTTATACATCTAGTATTACAACTTTTTAAACTCTTCGCCTTCCCAAAGTGACGGAGCCAAATCCTTACATCTTCTTGGAGAATACATTTTGCGGCAAAATATAACATCTGTGTCCATAATATCACCAGGGTCCATAATATCGCCACCTTGAGAAACAGTGTGCTTCAAGATATTTTTACTGCAACATACTTTTGGTATGCACTCCTTCACACATCAAATGTACATATCTAGGGTATGTTGCAGTAAAAATATCTTTAAGCACACTATTTCTCAAGGTGGCGATATTATGGACCCTGGTGATATTATGGACACAGATGTTACTCTCTAGTGGACTAACTCCCTCGGCATGTTATCTCTCTATTTGACCGATTTCTACTCTTTCCAGCCGCCTCCCGAAGCCTGGTAACGTTAGAGGCTAGAATTCATCCACTTGTATCGGCTTAGTCATTCAATCATTCATTCATTCAGCCATTTATCCATTCATTCATCTATTCATAGGTTACTATTAACCTCTCTGTCCGATGAACCGAAGTTTAGAATCTTGAAAAACCGACTCAAGTTCCAAACAATCCACTACACACAGCTTAAGCCATGCTGGATTTAGTTGCCTGTGTTCGAAATAATCGTACGTCCTTATATGGTCATCACAGCATTATCTCAATGATAACTATCTAACACACGGTTCTTTGTTTGGGTGTGATTTCCACATGCCTGAATAGTCATGTCGGCAGCCTATAATGACAGGTTAGTCCTGATTACCCGATGATGAAGTCGAAGGTGACCTTCTGTCAGTTCACAAATGGGCGGCTGGTTCAACGTGTTCGATTCGTCGGTACTGCGCCTGCGCACTAGCGCGCTGGCGGCGACGCTGGCGGCCATGATGCTGAGATTAGAGATGACGCATTTCAAAGTTTTGAAATTTTTGCCTGTTGTTTTTGTGAGTAACAAAAGGTGATACAGACCACACTATTTTGAAATAAAGGACGTTTAACGTAAATTTTAACTAAAACTAGTATATATTTCATGTGACAAAGAAAATAAGATTTCACGAATAAGACCATGGTCATAATTGTTGTAGGATCATTGTACGACTTCTTAGGTTAGTTGTGCCTGTGTCGTACAACGTTGTTACAGAAAGCTGCCATAAATTCTTGTCGGACGTTAACGTTGCTTCTGTCGCAGCTTGATTGAAACTTATACCGTATCAAAATCGTACATGGGCCCTAGGACACCTATGGTTGCGCGCGCGCTGTTGTATGTGGCGTCCCGCTTTTTATGAATTCTGATCTACTTCTTACATATTTTGGCCATACATCAGCACATTTTCTGACGTCTCCTGTCATTAACTAATTATGATTAATCTCAGTCCCGCCCTCTGAGGTCAATAAGCCTCGGGTCGGGCCTTTTCACCATATTTTATCTTAAAATCTAGACCGAGAGGTCTTAATTATGATATGACCGAGAGGTCTACTCTCCAAGCAGAGGTTG